CAGCAATGTTTGTTTGGATGATCAGAAAGAGTAAACCTTAAATTTCAATTATTGCACTCAATAGGTCTGACTAGTTGTTCAACTACTGACTAACCTATTCACTTTTTTTTAATAACACTTTAAAAAGGTTAACTTTACGGATTGAAACTAACATAAACTTACAATGAGCAGCACTTTTTGACAATTTCAAGATTTATAAATCAATTAAAACATGAACAATGGATAGGAGCCTGTAATAATACTTTTAAGGGTTACTTCACCCCAAATTGAAAAAAAAAATCATTATTTCATCATCCTCATGTCGTTCAAATCTTGCATGCCTTAATTTCCGCTTTGAAATACAAAAGAACATTGTACGAGAGGAGAAAAGCGGAAAACAGGAAAAGTGATTTTCTGTCAGGACCTTTCCTTCAACCCTAAAACACAACACATTGAAACATCAATACAGAAAATGATTTGATATTAACAGTACATTGAGCTGTATTTTTACTTTTCTTGGAGATAAAGTATTCTGAAGAATGCTGGTAACCAAACAGTTTTGGTTACCATTGAGACATTTCTCAAAACATTATTTAACGTTCCACATAAAGTCATTCAAGTTTGGAATGAGATGGAGGTAAATAAATGATGACAAAAAAAGTTTCATTTTTTGGGGGCGAACTATCCCTTCAACGGGAACTAATAAATTGCAGAATGTTTTTTATTCTGATACCTAATATAACTATTGTTAGTGAAAAAGTATAATTGATATTTTTAGTAGTGGTGCTTTATTAAGCTGTTAGAGTAAATGCAGTACAGTGAACTTTTTGAAATTTAACCACTTTAAAACATTGCTACAATTGCACAGATTTGGGCATTGCATCGGGTTTGGCCATTGTATCATTGAGCATGTCAATAAATAGTGCAACTTTTATAAACGTATTCTGTTCCATCCGTTGCACTATCGGATGCCTTTGAGATGATGTGTTTTATGGAAAAGCTTTGTAAGAAATGTGTCCAATTGGGACAGTTGATCTGGAAACTTGAATCTTTATACAGAGCTTCCTTAGGACCATTCAGCCAACTAATTGTGCAGATAACCAACTAATTAGTTGTTGGGTTTTTTGTCGCTTTACAAATCGCTGATCAATGCTTATTTGTGCTTGGGATGTCTTAAAATGTTGTGTCTCACTTTGTTCACAAGAGGTCAGCCAGAGTTTGGCAACCTGAGGGGCAAATCAGACTATGAGAGGGGACCATTTGTGGGATCTCTAACTCGTCATCTTGAGGACGTCAATGCCCCCTCCCTCCCTCATTCTCCTTGGGCCCCAGTCACAGTGGGTCCAGTTGGCCTGTGGTGCCGCTGAAACCCAAGCTGTCCTATCCCAGACCGAGACCTGGAAGCATGTGGTGTCACAAGCGCCATGACTTTATCACTTCCCCTTTGCCCCATCTTCCATTTTCTCTTCTGCTTTATCTCTTTCCCTCCAAAGGCTCAGCTTTATAGGCCACCTCCAGCCACGGGCCCAGCAGCCTGAAAAGCCAAAAGAACAGAGGAAAGAAACTACTTATGTCTATCGAGAATTTAAGAGAGAAATGTTTCTGTGGTATCCCAAAAGCATTGCATTTCATTGGTTTTACATTTATATTCACCCCGCTGCTTGCATACAATCTGACCACTGTTCCACACCACTGTTTGATATTCACGAATAGTATGATCACAGACGGTCGATTGGTCCTTGCTGTTTGATTGGATGTCAGCATAAGCCATATTGGAGCATTTAGGTTAGAGAGGTTTTACCTCACGTACCATTGCAATGGACGTCTGCCATCTTTATGATCCTGCTCATTAAAATTAACTGTCTGGCTGTAAAAAATAGATTTCCTTTTAATGCTGCCTTCTGGATTCTCTTATGCACCACTGATTGTGTGTAAAAGAAACCTTGCTCACGTGCGTGTTTCGCTTTTTCTAAACTTACTTTCATTTCAGCTCTTGATGAAAGTGTTGTTGGATCAGAGGCAGCAAATGGAAAACATATTAACATGGCTAAGAATTAAAGACTGAATAATTGAAAGCAATAAATACCATTATTAAGAGATTAGCTATAGTGATATTTGTTCCGCTTCTATTCTTGTGATTGAAAAACAGTCAATTGTTCATTCGTTCAGTGATTGAAGCAAATATGTTGCCAAAAATGTGTAAAATAATTTTACAGGTCATTTTTTGCCTTGTGTGTACCACACAATTTTTGGTTATCATTGTACCAGACTGGAAACATAGACGTCCATATCAAATGCCAACCATTTAAAAGTGTTCCTGCCACGACTGCAGTCACATAGTTTGTTGTAAAAAGGAAAAGAAAGTCCTGCGAAAGTTATAAATGGCACATTTGCTGGATGGTTTTTCGCTTATGGGACCTTGTTTATCATAGGGTTGATATTCTAGTCATAAATGAAATAATGCAGTTCCCACTCCATGCTCGATTCTTTGGGGGAATACCCCCATATTTAACAAGGCAAATTTAAGAGACCTTTTTAAAAGTTTGGCCTGGCCCTTAAAAAGGCAAACCCATCAGACTCAAGTCTTTTGATCAACCCAGTAACCTCCCGCCCTTCCCACAGGGCTTTTTTTTAACACCATCATTATTAGGCCTCAACCCATCAAGCTTGTCTTCCAGCGGGCCACTGTCGGACCTGGTACGGGGTCTGAGAGGGGACAAGGCCCTAGTGCTCGGCCTGGACCAGAAACACTTCACTCCTCTCTATAAAAATACAAAGAGGAGGTGTTCTCCTGCTCTTAATTCTCATTTACCTTCCTGTCAGAATGTCCAGAGTTCACATTTTACAGGGACTTTGGGGTCAGGTGGAGATGGTAGGGTTATTTACCCCCTGGTGCTCATTTCACCCGTAGAAGCTCCATGTTGGCCTTACCTTCACCCTCACCTGGCTATCCAAGATGGTGCTCTGGTCCTATTAAAACAGAGTACAGAAGGTCATTGGAGGTTTTTGATGAACTCACAGATATCGTCACCTGCAAGTATATCTTCGCTAGGGATTCTGAGAGCTGGATCTTTTAACAAAACCCTTGGGCTTTTCGCAGTTCCTCTGTTTGTTGACTTTACAATCGGGAGCTTGGCTGCAAGGCCGACTGAATCAACCCTTGACTCTTCTTCTCTAGTCTGTGAACTCTTTCGATACAGGTCTCCAAATATGTCTGAATGTGCACTTCTAATGTTCTGGTTAGAGAGTTCGTTCAAAGACAGGAAGGTTTACCTTATCTACAGCTCCTTTTCCATCCAAACGTCTTCCAGAATCTGGGTGACTCTTTCTGAGAATCCAGAGACATCTTCTGCTGCCAAATCTTCCCCATTATCTTTCACTCCCCAGGCCGTGATATTTGGTCCAAGGCTTTTATGGCAGGGTAGGCAAGGGGCATGAGGAAATGAGGTGACCCCAAGGTCAACAGCGGAGTCAGGCAGCTGAGCGGACCGTGGCCCTGCCACCTCTGGGCTAGTGTGGGTTGGGCCATCCCAGTGTACTGCAGAAGGCATTGGTGGGACTTCATTCCTTGACCTTGCTCTCATGTGCCTTTAATTAAGACTGATTTAAATATGTTTACAAGCTCCACTGATCTTAAATCTTTTGGTTCGGTGCCCCATCCTTTTGCGTGCCCCAATCCCTGCATTCTCGCTCACTCGACTGCCTGCCGTTTCAGAGAGCCTCTTTTCTTCTTTCTCTTTAATATGGTGTTGGACGTTCATTTATGATGCTTTTTTAACTGGTTCTTAGGCACGGGTTACAAGCTATTTGGGAATCTACAAAATTGGATGCTGGGGACACCCCTCTAAGATGTTAATCTGTTGCCGATATGAAAGGCTGCTCACCTCAGTAAACCCCCTCATCCGATGGAACCAGGGCACTTTTATGGTCCCATCAGGCACCCGCCTGGATGACTTACTGCTGACCTCTTGACCTGGCAGTCAAAGCCATATGAGGAGCATCTTTCTCATTCTGTGTCTTCCACTCTGAGTTTGGTCTGGGTTCATCTATTTACACTTGGAGGGCAAAGGTTGGTTTATTTATCGTCTCTGTGTGCCCAAAAAGATACCCAACCTGAACCACTAGTAAATTGTTGTGGCGTGTCAGCCTATAAACAAATAATAGTATGTGGTGTCAAACTACCAAAGGCCCTACAGTTGCTTTGTCCATTTCTTCCCGCTAAAACATCTATATTGCATGGGGGTGGGAGGGGGGTAGCAGTAAATCCTTTTTTCCCCCAAACTTGCGCTCAGCGCTGGTACCACGTTAAACATTTACATGGTTCAGTATGGCCTTTATTAGGGTGTTACTAGCATGCTTGTAGCTACAAAAACATCTCTTGACCATTTGTATCGTATAAAAAAATTTACACAGAACTGCAGAACTGTTACCAGCAGGTTATTAGCATGTTAGCGACAACGTTAGCACCTACAAGGTCTATGGCTATAGAAGAAGCAAAGCTAATTGGTAAGGATGGGTTAAGTAAATGTTTGACTTCTCCGCTGTGCTAAAGGGACCGAGAATGTCAGTTCCGCCTCTAAAAGAACAGAAGGTAAGAGCAGGAGAAAGGAGCGATTTGGATTTTGACAGATGCACTTTGTGCAGATTTGCCAGTGTCCCACATTTCTTGCACACAGATAATTGATAGCATATGGTGGTCATGCTCTATGATCTCTGTCATTCAAGCAGAGGAATGTTGAACATAATGTATGTGTGGTACTGATGTTTTCCAGAATTTATGAATTTTTCTTAATCATTATTTTCCTTGTCAACATTATTTTGGACGATCTCAAATGTGATGTGTAGCCATTATGCCATGGATGGATGGATATATATATATATATATATATATATATATATAATTTGGATTATACACCAGTATTATGCTGTCCTTGAAACAGTGCTCACTGGTTGGAAAAGTTAGTTTAATTTTTCTAAAATAAAGGTTTGTGAAGTAATATTTATTGTCTTGTGGTTTTCAGGTTTCAAATCCAAAGAGGGAAAGGTGACCCAAATAGCTATAAAGGCCTTGGAGACTGTTTCAGAACTATATATCGCACTGAGGGGTAAGTTATAAATGCCTGTCTGTCTGTCAATCCATTTATCTTTCTGTATTGTATTGCCATCCTATTCAAATATCTGTCGATCTCTGATGTCAACAATTTCATGCATACCGTAATTTCAATTTATATTTTATCAGCAATACCATGCTCAATGAGTCCTGCTCAATAAGTTCAATATGAAATAAAACATGACCAAAACAATATATATGTATTTTAGGAATATTTATATAGTCTGAAAGTTCGTCTTTTACTTTAACTTGCAACTTTTAAAATGTTAAATTATTCTTATTACCGTTTTTGACACATGACACTTCTGGTTTGTGTTGTTTTCAGTACTTGTCATCTACTGTTTTCAGCATGTATTTAGTGTAAACTATGCACACATGTCTGTTGTATGCATGGTAACAACATACGCCAGGTGACAGGGAATGTTTTGAGCTTTATAAAAGCCTGGTGTACAAAAATTACAAACTTTAAACCCACCTGCCCTGGAATACGCAGTATGTCAATCTCAGACAAGCAAGTGAAGTCATGGGTTTATATCATGCATCGGCAGTGGCATGCTCCACATGTGTCGTGTTAACTGCCTCTGTTCTTAGGAAATCACACATATGACGTAGTGCGCTTGAGGCAGAGATTTATCTTTTTCTGTCTCTCTCCTCTTTTTTTCCCCACCCCCACCACTCCTTTCAGTTTTTCCTCCCCTCCCTCCAGCACACAACATGAGGCACGTGTCAGATCCTAGACAGTGTGCAGACTTGAAAGAAAGCTCTGTTTATGGCTAGATGACAGCTTTACAGTGGATCTAAAGCTGATCGGCAGCAAGGTGTGAAAATATATGTGCGCGTGCGGTCCTAGGTGACGCCGACAGTGTGAGATCCTACACCAGCTTTCGCTCTCCGCGGAGCTGTCATCGGCTGCATCCCGCAGGCCTCCCCTGCAGATTATGGCTCTTCTTTCTTCTAAACCAATTATCACCCTCCGTCTGTTTGTGCTGTGGCTGGAATCGCCACACAGTAGCCGGTAGCATGATCAGCCCCAGGCTGAACCACTTAGTTTTAATTTACACAAATGGTGGTGGGAGTTACAGTTGTGGAATTATTATTGAAAATAAACATGCTCTTGCTGTATGGGCCAGCATTGCACTTTCACTCTCGGTCCGTATTTTGCTTTGGTCTTCCCCTCTGTGCGGTAGAAACCCGAGCCCTTCGGCTTCCACACACCAATTAGTTCAGAGCTGGAGATCCATCTGTGCATTGGCTCCGAGTCTATTTGAAATGTTTTGAACGTTCACTTGCGTCATAATGTAGCATGTGTGAATCATCATAGAAAGGCAGTACTAATAGTTTTAGATCACATATTTAAATATCTTGATTGTGCATAATTATTTTACAGTATGTCTTGGTCAGCGATTTATAGATTTTTTTTTTAGCAGCAACACTAGATCTGTAATATTTTCTAAAGAAATCTCATTGTCACCTAGGCTGCATTTTTTTTAATTAAACAATACAGTAAAAAGATTAATATTGTGAAATAGTATTATAATTTAAATATATTATGAAATGTAATTTATTCCTGTGATCGCAAAGCTGAATTTTCAGCATCATTACTCCAGACTTCAGTGTCACATGATCCTTCAGAAAGCCATTTAATATGCTGTAACATTTTCTATTATTATTGTCATTGCTGAAAACAGTTGTGCTGCTTGATATGTTTGTGGAAACCATGATACGAGTGTGTTTTTCAGGATTCTTTGATGAATAGAAAGTTTTTTGGTTAACACTTTACTTGAAGGGGTGTGCATAAGACTGACATTACACTTTCATAATCATGACATGACACGTGTCATGAATATGAAGGAGGGATTATACATGTTTATGACAACTGTCATTAAATTTAATTTCTTCAGTTATGACATTTTTAATGCAAATATGACATTGTTTGAGATGTCTTTGTTATGACAACTTGACATAAACCAACACACCTATCATAAATATGTCATAAACATGATTAATTATCAAACTTAAGAATGCACTTAGCTTTATGGGTTAACATTACATTAAACTGTCATGTGGTTGGTTTTGACATTGGCTGTCATGAGGCATTATAACCGCGTCATGAATATGTTCCTTGACCTCAACTACATTGAATTTGTCATTAAAAGTTAAAATGGCTTCATGACAGCCAATGTCAAAACCAACCACATGACAGTTTAATGTATTGTTAACCAATAAAGCTAGGTGGTTTCTTAAGTTTGATAATTAATCTGCTATGTCATGTTTATGACAGGTTGTGTTGTCTTAGTAATGTCAAGTTGTCATGCCAAAGACACTGACATAATGATGATTTGGCCAGTCATAACATATTTGGCCCCATTTTAAGTAGTTCATGAAATAATAGTGTTAATAGGATACAAATGATTGCATGTCAGTTTATTGTGTAGTTCAAATTCAAAAAATCAGTTTCCAGGCTACTTAAGTTAGCAGATACGTCCCTGCATGCCTCTCATGTCCTCACTCCTTGATTTACGAGGCTTGAACCGTTGTGCCTTCCCGAACCAATGTCAAGGGTAAAGTCTCGAGAGGCAAGTGACAATATTTGCAGATCAAGCATTCGGGTTGTTGACAAGGGACAGAACAGGTAGAGCTCAAAATCCCCCGGGCCACCGTATCCTCGGCAGTATAAGACTGCAACCGTGCACTTTCTTACGCCTGATGAAAAATAAAGCATACGTCTCCCCGTCAGCCCTGTGATTCATTGACGGCCGGCCCTATAACAGGGATGAAACATTTTACCTCATTATCCAATTTGGTTAATGTATCATTTCCTTCCTCTCCTTTTGTTATGTTGAAGGATGTGGCTATGGGTTGAATGGAAGAAATGGGGTTTGATGCAAATAAAAGACAAATCACACCTATACAAACTCCAGCAGCTGGACCCACACGTACCTAAATGTGTGAGCATTTGCTTATGAGGTCCAACTGCGTGCTTACATTTAGAGTCAAATTGGCATTCAGGGATAGTCAAACCAGGCGTAGTCAAATGGGGTCTTAAGTGCGTGTGTAACAAATTGGAGCTTTATCTCACCACCTGATGTTTCTTAGACTGACCACACCCGGGAAACACGCGGCCGGCCTTTGCATGCGCCGGCGACGGGAGGGGGGGCTTCCGTTTCGGCCAGACAAAAGCCCACTCTGCCAGACCCTTTCACTTGACACAATGCCTCTCTGTTGCCGTTTCACCAGACAAGTGAGGCTTGTGACACCTGACACATCGTGATGCTGGTGAAATAGAGATTGTTTGTCATCTGATGAGATGTGTCGTAGTAATTAGCCGTGGGTCAGAGGTTTTGGAGTGGCGGTCACGGCGTGGGCACGGCTTGCGCTAATCGCATCATCTCTGTTCGCAGAAACGATAATATTTACACCCCAACTAAATCAGCCGAGGACATCTCTGTTGACTACTGGGGCATGTTTTCACAATACAACGACAGAAGTTCCCATGCAGCTGTCACACTACTCTGTCCACCCTGTCCACACACACACATGTGTTCAATATCAATACATGCTAGAACTGATACTGAGAAATCTGTTTCATTCTCGCCACCCCCTCTCAGGATGCATCAACACTCTTATACACACACACACACACAAATGGATGTTGCATGATATAAAGCATAGTTATTAGTAAGGCTGTTCATTTTAAAGGGACAATTAAAATTCTGTTACCAAACCTGTGCGACTGACTTTTGTGGAAGATAAAAGATCAAGTGCAGATGAAAACACTTTTTGTAATGCCAATTTAATCTGTTTTTATCAGCTATGTGTAAAAGATCTACGGTTAATTAATCCATTAAGTACCATGAACTAATATCCAACAACAACCATTTTTATAGCATGTATTAATCTACACCACACTGTAAAATAATATTGTTGGTTTAACTTAAAAAATTAAGTAACCTGGATGCCTTAAAATTTTAAGTTGATTGAACTGGAAAAAGTGAGTTAATACAATGAAGGAGATTGATTTAATCATCAGAAACTCAAAATAATTAGTTATCTGAACTAAATAAATTATTTAAGTTGATTTGACAAAATAAAAAATGTTGTGATAACAAATCATGATTTTTTTTTTACAGTGCACTCTTCAAAAGTTTCAAGTTTTTGAAAAAGTCTCTTATCCAAGTCTGCATATATTTGAACAATAAAAAACAGTAATATTGTAAATATTACTACAATATAAAATAACTGGTTTCTGTTTTAATTATATTTAAAAAAATATTTTATATGTTTAAGTTCAATAGAAAATGGTTTATTTGAAATAAAAAAAAGCTTTACTGACACATTTGATCAATTTAATCCATCTTTGCTGAGTAAAAGTATTTATTAAAATAAAAACTTACTGACCTCAAACTTTTGAACTGTTTTGTAGATTCATTCATAAATATTGCTCAGTGTTTGTTCATGTTCATTCACAATATAGTCATGCCATTTTTCATTTATGTATGCATGTACTGTACTTTAAACTTGAAATGTCAAAAAATATTTTGTAGAGGTGGAAAGAAAATTAACAACAACCTAGTTTAATAATTGCTGTTAAAGTATTGTTCATTATTAGTTTATGATTTCTGATGCATTGTTATTAATGTTAACAAACCAAACTGTATTGTGGCTTCCAAATTATTGATATTGATAGCAGATTAACTGGATTAATTTGAATATTGAAGGGTTAGTTCACCCAAAAATGAAAATTAAGTCATTAATTACTCACCCCCATGCTGTTCCAACCCCGTAAGACCTTCGTTCATCTTCGGAACACAAATAAAGATATTTTTGATTGAATCTGAGAGATAGATCAGTCCTAGACTGCCTAAGGGACTGGCTCTTGACAGCCCATAAAGTCATTAAAGAAAAGGTTTAAATATTCCATGTGCCTACAGCGGCTCAATTATAAGTTTATCAAGCGACGAGACTACTTTTTGTGCGAAAAAAACATAAATAACGACTTTATTCCACTATTCCATTACTTCCTTATGGGCGCATGCGCGAGAACTGAGACGAGGACGTTCAGATTCGTCTACTTCTTGTTACCGGCTGCTTACCGCTTGGGAGTTTTACCGCCACCTACCGTATAAGATGATGTGCTGATATAGCTGGAAGCGCAAAACTTTTTGTTTACAAGCAGAGGAAGATGCGCGCTGTGCACTTAAAAGCCTTTAATCTTCTCAAAAAACGACAGTGTTTCTTATAATCCGGAGCGCCTTTTATATGGATCATCATTTTATACGGTAGGTGGCGGTAAAACTCCTAAGCGGTGAGCAGCCGGTAACAAAAAGTAGACGAATGAGAACGTCCTCGTCTCAGTTCTCGCGCATGTGCCCATAAGGAAGTAATGGAATAGTGGAATAAAGTCATTATTTATGTTTTTTTCACACAAAAAGTATTCTCGTCGCTTGATAAACTTATAATTGAGCCGCTGTAGGCACATGGAATATTTAAACCTTTTCTTTAATGACTTTATGGGCCGTCAAGAGGCAGTCCCTTAGGAAGCCAATGGAAGAGTGATCCAGCCCTCAGATTCAATCAAAAATATCTTTATTTGTGTTCCGAAGATGAACGAAGGTCTTACGGGGTTGGTACAGCATGGGGGTGAGTAATTAATGACTTAATTTTCATTTTTAGGTGAACTAACCCTTTAAGTGTATCATGTTATTAATGCATTCTTTTTTTACAGCCCTAAACATTGGATAAATTTGAGATATTTTATACAATGTTTTCTAAATTATTAGGTAAGTACTTATGACTGCACCTATTTAATCCTTATTTCTTATGTTTCCAGATAAACCAAGCACTAAACAAAAGAGTATAGTCCTCATTCTTAATTTTAGTTCTTAAATGGACACTGTGTGGACTTCAAAGCATAAAAGCAAGTCTTTAATACATTTTGGCTAATACAGCTCTAAAAAGAGTGAGCTGATGATTTCAAGCATCAACATTAACCATCCTATAATCTATTGTATCACCACACAATAAATCCAATGACTGACCTTTTTTGACATATACTGAAACTACACGCACAAGCCTAGGTAAATGTTAGCTCTTTACCATACTGCAGAGTTTTTGTATGAGAGAATGAGAAGGGAAAAGAAAAGCTCAGGTGTTTCGCCTGCTCAGGCTTGTCCTGACTCTCAGAATGACAGAAAGCAAAACAGAGTCAGGTTTCAGCTTCAGAAAAAGTGCACGTGTGTGCTTCTCAAAGTGCGTTTAGGGGTGGTGAGAGTGGCCCGAAGCATTGATCAGACTGGAATCTCAAAATACGGACTCTTATTTTGGACACTGTTGGCTTCAGCAGGATGTCAATATCCATCACACTATATAATATTACAAATAAAATATTGGATAAAAACTCATTTTGTTCTCTTAGAAAGTTTCAGCATGGTTGGCCAACACATTTGGATCATTTTATTTTTGATATACAATTTGTTCCGTTAAAATGGTGAACCTGTTTCACGACAGTTATGCAAGTAGTGTTGATATAAGTTATGGAGATATCTAAATTAATTCAAATTTATTTCAGCTTTGAGGGCACGTTTACACGACAGCGATGCACTAAAAACAGAAAGGTTTTTTTTTCTTTGTGTTTTTGACATACTGACTACACCATTGACTCAACGATTCCAATTCACACGCACTTATAGACTGAACGCGTAATATGCGTGTGTGCATGACGTCACCGTTTTCACAAATTCGTGGTTTTGTAGTTTACACAGAAATTATAGTGGTATCGTTACGCCCCCAAAATGTGGTTGTCATGTAAAAGAGTGGCCAAAACGCTTAAAAAGCTTCAGGTCAAACGGCCCCCTAAGTAGATTCAAATGAGAAAAGATATTAGATGATGCTGTTGAAATACAACGACTGTTTTTGTGTTAATTTGCTTATCTTACAGACACCTGTCGAAGGTTACACTTCTATTTGCTGTTCTAACTATATAATCTGATAAGTATCCCTTTTACGTTTTTTTAAGCAATCCTGTGACAGTTATGAACCCACTATTAATTATATAGTACAAGCTAAAGAATCGCACCCATTTTGACTCAAACACCTGAAGAGGATTTGACTGTCTCAAGCTTTTTAGACATTTGAAACCTAGAAATGTAGTTCCTTTTGTTTTTCGTTTATAAATGCTTGTTTGTGTGTTTAGACCAGTTTAACCTGTTCTGGTTTGGAAACAGTACCCTGGAAACAGTAGTGCATTACAACCGAAGCTAAACTCAATGCATGATAATGGGAGTGGATTTCCATAGAATTGGCACATCAAAGTAGGATTCAGCATTCCTGTGTGGCACCATGGGTCAGGATGGGAAATAGTTGTATTAGTCGCATCTCTGTAGGCTACATGGGGTCAGTATCGTGATGGTATGAACAAACTGGTTATGGGATCAGTTTTGAGATGACACAACCAAACCAATCAAAACCGGCTTTGTTTGTATCACGATGCTGATCATCAACTTTCGAGTTCCTGGACGGCATCAAAGTGTGACATCAGTGGTGCATACTTAACTGAAACGGCTTCATGGTATAGGAGTCTGGTCATTTAGTTAAGCCATCTTAACACATTGGATGGATTGCACCAATAAGGATTAAGATAAACATTCAGTTGTGCCAAACTTTAAAAACTCTAAATAAATAAATGGTTACATTTAAATCTGCTTGATTTTAATTCTACACTCTTAAGAAAAATGGTTCTAAACAGTATCAAATTAGGGTTCTTTGGCTTGTAACAATAGCAGAACACTTTTTGGTGCTAAGTAGAACCATTTCTAAGGTTCCATAAAGAACCAGTGCTTATCCCTAATGGTGTTATAAATAACCTTTTCAGCAATATTCATTTTCATTAATATTATTACTATTATTTTTAAATAATATGTATTAAAATAGTTTTTTATTCCTCCATCTGTCTGGTCCTATTATATTGTGTTGCCTCTATTTGGGTTTTACATAAAAAACAGCATGTTATGTCAATTACGTAGGCTACTTTAATGTTTTATTCTTGACATGGCAGATTGTATGAAAAATGACAGTGCTCAACAGTACAGTTGTTAGCTGAATACATGAATAAATAACAATTGACGTTGAACACGATATAGATGTAATGAAGACCAAGTTCCAGTAAAATATCTTCGCAATCCTTTATGATGTCTTTATGTCCTTCATTATGTGTGTATTCTGAGTTTCTATCTGCAGACGAGGAGGTTATGGTACGGGACAGCATCTGAAATACACAATTTTGTTTAGAGTTACATCGTGTCTCTTCCATTTGATTATGTAAAAACATTTTGTTCATGAAGTCCTTGACAATATGAGCCTTTTACGTTGGAAAAAGGAAAAAGTGATATAAAGTTATGGGATAGCTTTAATGCTTTTGTGACTTAATATGTTTGGGCATAAAGTCATAATAAAAAATTAACAATATGGATCAAAAAAATCCATGTCTGTTACTTTGTGGAGAAGAGAAGATGAGTATCCTTAACTGAACAGATGCTCACACTTACATGTTTTTTAAACTAAGAAGAGAAAAATACATGATTGTTAGGAAATTATTGTTACAATTTTTAAAGTTATAATTTATAAAAAAATTTAAGAATGAAATCATTTACCTGTTGAGAGTATGTTGACAGTCTAGTTGTGTATATCTGAGCTCCAGGAAATCAGTAATTAGGTGGCTTGGCTTTAACAGTTACAGATTTGAAAAACAAAAAGGCGGGAATAAAGAACTCTGAACTCTAACACAAAGAACCATTTCAGATCCGGTTCTAAATAGAACTTACTACGTGTGAATAACTTTTAAAGAACCATCTTTTTTAGAGTGAAGCCTGCATTTAACTTAATCCCAGTTAGGGATTAATTTTTACAGCTAAAGAAATGTACCCTTTTTTATAAATGTTTGCACTTATTTAATGGACATGGGGAAAATGTTCAATATTATTATTATAAAAATATTTGACCCACAATCACACACTGTGAGCATTATCTGTCACACTGTCTCAATGCAGCAAGTATTTTTTCATTACTTTCTTTACAAAAAAGTCCACTTTATCAGCCTGTTATGCCAACGGTGATAGTGAAAGTAGGTGCTTAACCTTTTCATTTTCTCTTCTTTTTATATACGGTGACCATTTTTTGCTGACCTGTTACCAAAATGTCTAAATGTAGATTGATTCTTTGTTTTGTTTGAGTCATTTTTTTTTTCTTTGGTTAATCATGTAGTTAAGTTTGATGAATTTATGATGAAAACAACAAACAAACATTTTTTTTTTTCCATTTGTTTCTTTACTGCATATATAATTGGCCAAATAGACATTTGAATGTTGCTTATCCATAAATCTTCATTTATTTATCATGTCTCTCAAACTCCAATAAGTGATGTCTTTTCCTCAACAGAGTGTACGGCTTCTACAAGGGAATCCTTCCCCCAATTTTGGCCGAGACCCCAAAGAGAGCAGTGAAGGTAACAGGAACCACATTTGACTGCGAGCTTAAACTCATCACTTAAACCATAGATGCTCTGATCTTTGCAACCTGGCCTTCCGAGTGTAAACATATACACACAGACCACATACGTCTGCCTTATCCAGGAGGATCAAAAACACTCATCCCCTCTCTATGTTTGTATTCATGCCACATGTGTTTGCTGTTGAGAACTCCCAATATTGACCTACATGGCCAGAGATTGCTACCGGCCTCACTTTAGTATCATGTATAAACAGTACATATATATACACACTCTTGAGTTTAGATGAGTACTTACTGTGGCTTTAGGCCGTTGGTGCGCTCTTGAGTTTATATGAAAACTTACTGTGGCTTTAGGCCAATGGTTATGGGTGTCTGAAAGGAGGGCGAGCACATTAATGTCTGACTTTTCTAATCTAAAACAACATCTGGAACGGGTTTAATTCCATTATCGGAAAGTCCTGGTTTGGTAGACTCAACAAGCTTACCATGAAGGGTTTGTCCACCTTAAAATTCACATGAAAATGCGAACGTCATCATGTAATCGTTCTCATGTCGTTTAACCCATTTTTTAATGCTACATTTGTCATTTCGGAGCTTGACGAACCCCGTTCTCATTCACTTTATATTGAAAGAGCGGCCAGGATATTTTTCAAAAATCCTTTTGTAAGACGGATTTGGAACGATGATGAGAGAATTTTCAATTCCTTCAACACTCCACATTTGTTGATTTAAAGCTACTAAACAGGCTTGGTGTACTAGCCCTGGCATACATCAGTCTTACTCAATGTTTTATTATCTAATATCTGTCAAGCTGTGCAAAGCTTTACTAATATATAGAATTAAACGCCATCGTCTGTGTGTGCATTTATATTTGCGCAGTGTCATGTTGACAGCTTGAGTGTTCTCATTCACTACGGTTGAGCTGTGTTTGCTTTGGGTGTGAGCATTCATCTTGTCTGCGTGCATGTATGTGAATGCATGTAGCGTCTGAAAACACTTCCTGACAGGTTGCTCTGATCTTCTTTTGCAGTTTTTTACCTTTGAGCAGTACAAGAAGCTGTTGAGCTTTACTCCTTTATCACCCGGCCTGGTAAGTCATCTGATACAAGCGGGATACACACACATACTGTACACACTCACAGTCATTGATACTATACACGCAATCACATTCACAGTCAAGCGAAGCACTCTCCTCATTACATGGCGTGCTGGCAGCGGGAACGAGGTGTAATCGAGACAAATGCTGCTCAGCGAGGCGTATGGGAGATAGCCCATTACTTTGACAGCAGTCTATCAGTGTGGCAGCAGGCTTGACGGCTGAGCCCGAGGGCCAATCCTGAATCCACAGCCTCGTCGAGCGAAACATTCACCTGCCTTATCAATCACACCTGTCTCCGCCCACTAGCTAGAGATGTCAATCCACACAGAGCCCACAGGCGCTGGGAAGAGTAATGTATGGAGTGTGTGAGAGGCGGAGAGGATGAGTCTGCATATTTGTAAGTGAATTCAAGAGAGCGATTGAGCAGCCCAGATGAAATGACTCGTGTGATTGATTCAGATGCACGCAGTAATATGACAAATATGGCTCTGTAAACACGGTCAAGGAGATGTCCGGTTCGGTTTGGAGGCAGAAATGAGTAATGAAGCTCTCACACTGTCTTGCAGAGTATGTATGCACTAGCACAAACACAAAAAGACAAAATCTGCGAGTGTGATCATCGCACACACATTTTAGACGTATTAATCGAGGGTGTGGGTGTGTACTATCCCCAGCTTACCTTATACAAACACACTCAAATATCTCTTTTGTCGCTCTTAAGGTAGGCCGGAAGCCTGCTGACATACAGGTCAAGTGCTTGAATGGAAATCATACAAGTAAAACCCAACCGCACATTTATTTTATTTTTATAGCAACATTAATCTCATCTAATTAATGATTAAGTGTATCTGCATAAAACGACGTATCTGCGTGATTAATTATAATTAATTGCAAATTGATTAATTATAATTACTTCAAACATTTATGTAAATTAATTTAGCTGATTTAATTGATTTAGTACAGTTGATGTTGAGGAAATAAATATTATATATAATATAAATACAACATGATATAATATATTTATATCGTGTGTGTGTATATCAAAAGGATTTAATGCAGATTTATTTTTACTGCCAACTTTGGTCATATTTACCAATAATTCTGGCCATGATTGTGTGTGTATATATATAAATATGAAGAGTTCAGATGCAAAAGCCTCTAAGTGCCATTTGAAATTTTCTTCTAGAATGATCATTTTTATCAAGCTTGTATATTTAAGTTCAGTGATTTCACTTAAATGGCAATGATAATTACCTATTAATTGTTATTTAAGTGAAATCACTGAACTTAAATATACAAGTTTGATAAAAATCATCATTAAAGAAGAAAATTTCAAATGGCATTTAGAGGCTTTTGCATCTGAACTCTTCATATGATCAGCAATATTTTACATTGTCGACTAAAACGTTATTTATATATAAAAATTGTGCCATTTTAGTATGGATGGATGTATGGTGTGGCAAAATATTGACTAAACTACATTTTCATCAGAATCTATGACTAAATCAAAACTATGTTACTGTGAACACTGCTGTTAATTTGGGGTATAAGTTGATAAGTTGAATAAGTTGATTGCAACAAATGAAGTCATTTGTCTTTGTCTCAGTCATTTTGTCTGAGCCGGTTCATTCATCTTCTGATTCCTGTCTGCGTTTCCTTTCTAACCCCTGCGAATGATTGACGCTGACAGTTTCAGTCATTTATTTGTAGGTTAAAGTCAAGCTCTGCGTCTGGACAAACACGTTTCTGAAGGAGATGTGTCACAGTAGCATTGTTCCTTTGAGTTATGAGACTTGAGTGACATACCTTTCGTCTGTTCTGAATTAAACGCAAAACGACTTTCACTATAGTCTTTGTGTCTTTCTCGTTTGTCATGTGGCGTCATGTTCTCTTGTGATGTAATTCTGCCTGCTTCAATATGCTAGGCTCTATCTGTGGCTGGCCTGGGGTCAGGGTTAACCGAAGCACTGGTTGTAAATCCATTTGAAGTAGTGAAAGTGAGCCTACAGGCCAACAGGGATTCATTCAAAGTGGTGAGAGGCTACAGCTGTTAATTGTCGTTTTGCTATTGTTTTTGCCAAAATGTCTTGGTCATTCATTTTAAGGGTGCTAATGTTTTTGCTCTCTGTGTTTCTCCATGCAGCAACCCTCTACGTTCGAACAGGCCAGAACTATTATAAAAGCAGACGGCTTTGGCCTCCGTGGACTTAATAAGGGCCTGACCTCCACCCTCGGACGGCATGGCATTTTCAACATGATCTACTTTGGTTTCTACTTCAACGTTAAAGATGCCATACCTGCCAGTCAGGTAAACAAAGGCAGATACAGTGTCCCCAAAAAACTATTTAGACACTTAAAGGGACGGCCCACCCAAAAATTAAAATTCTGTCATTATTTATACTGACCTTTATGTCGTTCCAAACCTGTATAACTTTCTTTCTTCTGAGCAACCCAAAAAAAGATATTTTGAGGATTGTTTAAATTAATTTTGCTCATACAGTGAAAGTCAATGGGGTCCAAAACAACTGATGTTATTGACAAAAAATCAGCTTTCCTTACAACAAAGAATGAGATACTGTATATGTTTGACCATATATCTCTTTTTGTCATACTGTGAAAGAAACTTTTTACATGCGACATGTAAAAGATAAATGCAGGTATATCTATTAAGAGAAATATGGTAGTGATTCAAAAGGAAATTAATTTTCCCTAAATGTTTATAGGAAACATGCACACATTCATACAACATGCTTGTTTGGATACAAGTTGCCCTGTACAATAAGGGGCGGTTACAATACACTTTTTATTTCATTAACAACAATTGATATGAATGCAAATGGTGAAGTCTGGGAACGTAAGCTGCTCATGCGAACTTTTGCATTTCTCTGCATTTCAAAATTCAAGTTTGGTAAACTCTGACCTGTAAATTCATGTAAAGACGTGTGATCAATAGGAGATTATGATGTAAATTAAAATAACAAACTTTAGCTGCAAATGTGTTCACGTCACATGAATAAGAGCTGCAGGTTTGTAGCATTGCAGGAAAGTGCAGTACATTGTAGTTTTGGAATTATTATTATTTGTTATATGTTTAATTTGTATATTTTTTTTTTAAATGCTGCACAGCGTGACATCATATTGTGACTTTTGTGGTGCTCAAAGTCTAGTGTGACCTCCCCTTTAGTGAGAAACCCATCAAGCACATCATTTTGTGTATCCGTTTATCACCACATACATTTCTCAAACAGTTCAGGTGGCACCTATAAGAATCCTATTCATTTTAACATTGTTGCAGTATAGGACGACATTATCTATATTGAAAACCGAATATTTTGTCAACACTATATATGTGAATGTCAAATTTTTAATCAATACATTTTTCGAATACATATTCGATATAACATATACATAATAAATGAAGACTCATGTGTATCTTTCTCATGTGTTCACGTCACGTGAATAAGTTGTTTTCATAGCTTGTGTAAAATATATACGAATATATATTCATATAAAATATACGAATATATAATATATATTAATCTCAGAACTTTTTCACTTGAGATCCAAGTCTAAAAGTAAGACCTTTTTTTAAAATACGCATCCACAGGCTGAAGACTGAACATGTTGCTTTGCGAATTAAAGGAGGGTTCAGTCATGCACATTAACAGAGCGAGAGGGAGGAGGAGAGGAGCTGCTAAGATAAACCTCACTAATACCTTCCCTGTTTGCTCTCCATCACATCCTCAAAGGTTCAGATTACACATCCGGCAGGGCTCAACTCCCAAACAAAAGTTAATTTTGTTTAATGGAAACGTTACCATACGGCTGCTCCACATGTATAAACTGGAGCATTAGATTTACTCAAATGAACTAATTGGAAGCAGACTGAGGTATTTGTTGGGGGGAGAGTTACAGTTGAAATCCTACTGAAGATTTGTATTCCCCCCTTCATCTGGTGCTAAGATCATCATTGCCTGAGAAGCCAGAAACCTCCAGTGCTCAATCAAACCAACCCTGATTTGACTGTCTATTGCAAATAATCTCAGGGAAGTGTATGGCTTTTTAGGTGTGAGCATCTACTTTTCCTATCTATTTTCAAAGAAGCCAGTCATTCTATTGGGATCCAAATCAATGATCCTTCTCCAGGGGTATCAATCCATCAACCCTCACAGACTTCAAGATTTAAGCAGCATTTGCTATGAAACCGACGAGCCCTTTCTGTGAGCGTTCGGGACAGTGTGCTGCAAATAATGTCGTTGAAGGGAGTGTTTGGTGTGGAAGCTATACTTAAGGCGGAGCTCTGTTGTTGCACAGCCATGCTCCTCCCCATAATGCGATGTTCAGGTTTAGTTGTCGATCTTGCGTGTCACTGCTGGGCTTCTGTCATTTGTAAAAAATATCCTGGCCAATTAGATGTCAGAGCTGCGCTGGTTCGGGCTTCTTTTTGTACAGTAATACGCCAGTGTCGAGTCGCAGCCCAATTACCCAAATTGGCCCCATATGCCTCCCAGTCTGCCTGTTTATAAATCCTCTCCCAAAGTTTGCCTTCGATCACATGACCCACTTCAGCCAATTGTAGAGCCTCGCTCTTCTAATGAAACGCTTATCTGCGCCCCGCAACCATAAAATGACTGAGCTTATATTTCAGCTCTCGTATTCTCTCGCTTCTTTTTTGTTGCTCCTTCCTCGATCGTTTTTTTTTTTTTTTACGTCTCCATTTTCATATCTCTCTTTACTTGCTCTTTTATCTGCTTTACATTTGTCTCTGTGTTGGTTAATTTGCATTTTCGTATCAAGTAGAGTGTTATCTCAAAATTTTGAATTTTATGGCTCTACCTATAAAACTGTCATCAAACGGTTACTGTTTTATTTGTCATCAAAGGCAATTGACAACTCTTGTGGCATAATGTTGATACCACAAAAACTTATTTTGACTTGTACCTTGTCTCTTTCTTTAATAAAAGCAAACATCTGAGGTACAGTGAGGCACTTACAATCGAAGTGAATGGGGTCAATCCGGATGATGTTAAAAATACTCATTGTTTAAATAAGACAGAAACAATATGAATGTTAAAATGATTTTAGTGCGAAAAAACAGATAGTAGTGTAGATATATCCAATTTTACAACCCTTTTTAAGGGGCGAGTCCTTTTTTGTGGTAATCAACATTGTCCCACAAGTACACTTTTAACTTGTAGAGTATTAAAAGTGAACTTATAGACCAGAAAATGTGAAAAATGTGTGTTGATCATCATTATTCATTGTATAAACAAAAGGCCTCTCTCTCTTTACCTTGAATTTGTCTCTGTGTCCATTTGTCAGGACCCTCGACTGGAATTCGTGAGGAAATTTGCCATCGGTTTGGTTTCAGGAACAGTCTCGTCCTGTGTGAACATTCCTTTTGATGTCGCTAAAAGCCGTATACAGGGTCCTCAGCCTGTTCCAGGGCAGATCAAGTACCGTAGCTGCTTTCAGACCATGGGCCTTGTGTACCGTGAAGAAGGGTAAGAGTCTACACCATCACCCAACAACTACAGGTGTCGGAATTACACCCGGCAGGAGATGTTAAACCAACCACAACTGCTGCGAGGTTCACCTACAATAAAAATTACACAACATTTTGTGTTTATCCTCTGCCCACACGGGATAAGAGGGCGAGTTTTGACAACCGCATCCTCTAAATATCAGTTTAATTATGTTGTCTTTTGTTCTGAGCTATATCCGGGAATTATACTTTGTGTCACTACTTTAGATGTATTTATGTTACATAATCTTCTTTTTTTAGTGGATACTTGATATGAATCCATAAACTGGATATGGATTATGTTTATGTTTATTCCATTTTTCTATACCGTGTGCATATAACATCCTAAAACTCAATACATGCAGTAATACCTGCATGTATTGAGTTTTAGGATGTTATAAGGCTCAATTATGATATAAGGTTTGATATAAGGCATAAAGTAAAAAATATCAGGGAGCTACAATTGAAGAGTTCAGATGCAAAAGCCTCTAAGTGCCATTTGAAATTTTCTTTAGAATGATGATTTTTATCAAACTTGTATATTTAAGTTCAGTGATTTCACTTAAATGACAATGATAATTACCTATTAATTTATTTAAGTGAAATTACTGAACTTAAATATACAAGTTTGATAAAAATCATCATTAAAGAAGAAAATTTCAAATGGCATTTAGAGGCTTTTGCATCTGAACTCTTCAATTATGCTGCATATTATAATTGTTTTAATGTTTTACTGTGTACTGATATTTGAAGAAAAATGAGTCATAAGGATTTTATTCAATAAGAGCTTGTGTACATTCATTGAAAAACCGTGTTGATTCTAACGTGAGCTGTTGTTTCTTATAGCGGAGACTCTAATAGTGCCCATAACGTCCTTCTGTCTCTCTCTCCTTCTGAATTGACAGGCCTCATGGGAAGCTGTGAAAGAATCAGTAGTTTTATGGCTTCTCCCTGTACAAAGGGAACGGCAACTCGTTTGTTATTAGAGGCAGGGAATTGAGGCCTGTACTTGTGTGTGTGTGTGTGTGTATTAAAGAGAGAGACACTGAAGCTGTTTTAGTTTTAGGGGTGCTGAGAGGGTACCCCATCCTGTCCAGCCCTCTAACACGACACAGTCCTGGCTAATTAGTGGTCCCTATGGGAGACGTCGTTAAGCAGGTCCTAACGAGGCGCGCGGCGCTCAGCGGGTCAGTCTAATCAGACAGCGGGGCAGAGAGGAAGTGGCTCAAGCCTTATTAACACCAGCACAAGCAGAGGACAGAGGCTGGGACAGGGAGACGGCCAGAAATCAGCTTGAACGCATTAGGGCAGGTACACGACTAGAACAGCTATTACTGCGCTATACCTGATCCAGCTTCACAGGCAGACCGACCCTGAGAGAGAGACTTTACTTACAGTACCTTAGATGGATAGATTAGCAAAAATCTGTCATCATTTAGGCGCTCTCGTGTCGTTCTGAACCGGTATGACCAAATTTCTTCAGAAAAAGAAAATGTTTACGCTGCTCTTTAGTAAGTGAATTTCAAGGTCCAAACGGGAATCAAACATAAAAGTTCCAATAAAGTCATGTGATAGATCTGTGTGAGAGAACTATCAAAACCATAGAACTTTTGTTCATCTTGGAAGCAAGAAAAGATATTTTTAATGAAGCCTGAGAAATTTCCCTCCAATTTCCCGTCAATCCACCAAAACTTTGACATTTCAAAGCACATCAAATATCTTAAATGGAAGCTCCACGTTTGTTTTCACGTGTCAAGCAAGTATGACTGAGCTTTCGTTTGTAAATGCGTGTGAATAAAAGACGAAATCAAAACATGCCATGTGAGAACCAGTCACATTTGATGTTGTTGACATGTAAATAAATAGCTTTTAAAATTCTAGTCCATTGCTTTAAATATAGTGCGCAAGTAGTATTGATTATTTTTATGATGCTATAATTTGTTTTTTGAAGTCACTGCATTATGCATGGAAAAGAGCAGCACTAACGTTTTGTGTTCCAAATAAAAAAGCTAGTCATACGGGGCTTATGATTTATAGTAAATGTAACTGTCTAACATTTTATTTCTGCAGATATCTCGCCTTATACAAAGGACTGATACCCAAGATAATGAGGCTTGGACCAGGTAACATAAATTAGTATATAGTTTTCCTATATTAAAGGGATAGTTCGACATTTTATCATCATTTACTCACCCACATGTCATTCCAAATCTGTATGACTTCCTTTCTTCTGTGGAACATAAAAGAAAATATTGAGTCCATTCGATGGTAGACAGTTTCCCCAAAACTTGTTCTTCAAAATATATAGTGTTCTGTGGAAAAAAAGGGAGGTCATACCGGTTTGGAATGAGGGTGAGTAAATGATGAAATTAAATATTTAGTGAACTATCCCTATAACATTTGACAATTATCCATGGCCATTAATTGACATTTACTTTCTGAATATAGGAGGCGCAGTTATGCTGCTGGTTTATGAATATGTATCTGGCTGGTTGCAGAAGAACTGGTGATAATCTGCGCATCACCATCAGTCTTTACTCCATCGTCCCCCAGGTCTATCAAACAGCAATCACACTACCAGTTCATCAGACATGTGACATGTAGACTCTCCATAATGCTTTACAACAGCACAGTCACTCCCTGGATCTATACTTGACATTCTAACACTTATAACAGAACATATCGGAGAGTGACCTGTCCGCATGCCAGAATATGTAATAACCAGCTCTACACACCCTAAATGAAAATGCCAAATAGACACAGCACCTCATTTTTAATTTAAATTAAGACTGAATTACTCAAGCCTGAGGGATCCATCTACTGTCTTTGGATGGCTAACTGAGGACTGTGACTATATTAGATTTAGTTTGCAAATTGGATTTCTGAGACCAGAATATCCAATACTTTCAAAGCCAAACTCTAGCAATGTTTCAAATTCGGAGTGTAAACAACATTTGCAATGACACTTCAATATATGTTTACCTAGGAAATGTGAAATTGGCAAATTTAGACAAAAGCACTAATTGAATTATGGAAATTCAAATTAAACTGAAGTATTCTGTGATTTCAAAATCATTTTGTGAGAAAAAAAAAAAAATTATAAGGTCTTGTATCCCAAAGTGGTTAAATTTATTCATGTAATGGCTGTGTTTTGCTAATAAACGATAAATCGGTGGATAAAACTCTTTTATTGTAAAATGGCTAACTCCTGGAGGAAGATTGTAAAAACTACTAATCATTTGCTAGCAGATTAAATGTTTTGGCCTTATAAAAAAAATAAATAGCCTTTACCCTTTTTTAGGATTTTATGAATTTCCATGACTTATTTCCTATAGGCCTGGACTGGGCAATTTTAAAATTCTCATATTTTTCAAGGTTAATTGGCCCTCATTTGCTGTTGAATTTAAATCATCTGTATTTTGAGGTTTGTAACTTGTAATTCTTTGTTACTGGTAATAACAGATTACAGTGGGTGAGGAATCTCTGGTTACTTTTTTTGTTCCTCCTTCATAATCCAGTATGTCATCATATAGCGTCATGAGCCAAGACACTCACTCTCACTCTTCTCTCCTGATTCATCACAGCTGAAACAAAACTGAAAAAGGCCAATACAATCTAAACAATGAAGAAGGCCTCTCGATGCTGTCATAATGAAAATATGAAGCATTGTGGCCTTGTCAGTGGCCTTGTCTCTGTGTTGCTTAAAGATAACTTGTTGGATAAGTTAAAACAATGTCATCCGGTAAAATCCACCCTGACCAGTTCACATTTGCCTTCTTTTCTTGAAAGGTCATGTTTTATCTAACTTTGTTGACTTAGAGACAGTGAAGGCATTTGTTACACTCCTTCAGTCTGGGTTGCACCTCAGGCTCTCATCCTCCGCTTCAGCTCTTGATTGGTCGTTTGCTGTCAGTCCTTTCAACACTCCTCTAAAACACCAAAGTCTAACAACAACCAGACGCATTTTCAGACTATACTCATAGTTTTTCGCTAAATGTTTAAAAGACCTTTTTTCCGAGTCATTTGAAGCGACATATCAGATAATTTAGTCTTTTGTTATATAATCCCCTAACTTTTCTCTCCATTTTACTTCTTCGCTTGATGTTTTTGTTGGCTGTTTCTTTTTAATGAATGCAGATTGCGAAGTGTTGATCAGCCAGAGATTGGCTGTACCAGAAGAACGAGCAGAAACCGGTGCTTACCTTTGAGCATTTAAAACATACTAGTTCTAGTACACGAAGGAAAACAGTCTGCTTATGGTCAGCCGGCCTTTAAAGTGAGGCTCGCACCTCGGCCCGGTCCACCCGCAGCCCCTGTGCAGTGTTACCGTGCTCCGTGCTCCTGTCTTCAGCCTGATTGCGCACAGTCAGCTTAAGATAACCATGTGACATTTGACTTGACTTTCCATAGGAATTAATTCTAAACAGATGTGGGCGCGTGAGCAAGTGTGTTTTCACTTTCCTCCGTTTCAATGGTGGCTTTAAGATTAAGGTGTTTGTCATGTTCCCTCCTGTCACGACTGCACACACTTTTTCTATTTAATTTCCCGTCATAGTGATTTTTTAAATTTGATTAATCGCCATGCTTTGACTGTACAGTTCTGTGTGTGTCAAAATCCCAAATGGAATGGACCAAAGTGCCACGTTTTCCTCGAATAGGCTGGTCTGCTGTGTTTTCTGAGCTTTTTAACGTCCGTTGAGCCTGCGTTAAATGAACGGCTGTGATATGTCCGTCCAGTCGATGCATTTGTATTGTCAGCAAAGCCAACGTCCGTATCAATGGCGTCAGAATAGGAAAATGGCATTCAAAGCTGTTCATTTGAATAGAATAGGGTCTTGGGAAGTTGGTCTGGCTCATTGTGACATGTGATGGCCTCTATGTGTGGTGGTTTCTTGTCTGCCTTTTTGGTGGTTTAAATGTGCTCAAAAACAGCACCTCGATCCCGATGCAACGGTCCGTGACCACGGGGTTGGGGTGAAAGTGTTTTCCAAGTCAAATCAGCAGTAGTGCCTACCAGAAGGACTGTTTGCACTGCAACATGTGGGGACTGCGTGTATGTTAAGGACTGAGAGTGTGTTTTTGTGGATTTTTGCCACGAAGGTGGTGTGTTTGTATTGGTTGTGGTCCTGAATATGACGTATTTAGTTGTGTTTGTAACATTTAAAAAATGACACAGCATTGAATACAGCGCCTTTCATTTGTTTCTGTTTTGGCCCACCAGAAAAGGGAGGCAGTGGGTGTTTAAAAAGCTTTGTCCCAGTATGACATGCAGCCCACAGTGATATAAGCTTTTCCTTCCTCTTTTAACCTTATCGTTTCACGTCAAATCTGACTTTAGACAAAGCTCAGGGGAAAGAGCACACAGGAATGTGTGGCCATTCATGTAACACCTGAGTGAAAGGCCTTGTATAGGAGTTTGTGGATTCGTGTGTGTGTGTGATTCAGGTAAACCCTATATTATGGGGACAATATGTACCCACAAATATGGCAAGATACTTGACCTTGTAGACATTTTTTTGGTCCGCATGAGGAAAACAGTTTCTAAATCTTAAGTGTTTTTTTTTTAATGTTAAAATACAAAAGGTTTTCTTTGAGGGGTAGGTTTAGGGAATAGAATATGTTAAATTGTATAAAAATCATTATGTCTATGGAATGTCCACATAAAACTTGAAACCCCAACGTGTGTGTGCATGTGTGCATCTGTGCATGTGCTTCTCTTGGTAGGTATATAGAACTTCAAATAAATTCTTTGCAAATCTAATAAATTATAATAAGCAAGTTAATTAAAACAAATAAATGAAGGTATTTTGTCTGCCCCGTTCTTCAAAGAATGCTATTTATTTTTGGTAGATGAATAATTCAAACACATTTTTTTCTTCATATCTGGCTGAGAATTTTCATGTAACGTAAGAATTAAAACTGTTATTAGTTCATCTGCATATGAATAACATTCATCCACGAAATTAATAACAGCTCTCTGACACATTATTTTTAATGGAATCAATATTTTGATGAGCTCTAATCTTTAGTTTTATTATTTCATCAAAGCAGATATTATTGTTAACACTATAATAATTAAACAGATGAATATATTAAACTGTAAAGTTAGTTATAATTGGTACACTTAATTTGTATAATTATGTAATAATAGAGGCAGTTAATATTTTTATTATCATTAAGGACTTTATCATCAAATAAATAATGAAAGAAAATACTGAACAGGGGTTTTTACACATGTCTCTTTTAATAAGATACATTCAATTTCATTGTGCAATGTCTGGAGGTGTGCAGCTTCACTGATCATTAATGTTGCATGAATGAATGCTCCTGTTGTCAGAATGTGTGTCAATGTCCCACATAACGCCTCCTCTTCCCGCAGCCGTGCCGACTGCACTTCATTCGACGTACCATCTAATAAATAAATGTAATAACTTTTCCCTAGAGCTCTGGCATACATTATTAGAGAAGTGAAACTGGTATCCAAAACGACAAAAATCCGATTTTTATCAAAAACATTGAACAAAAAAAGGAACAATGCAGAACATCTAGACATTAGCAATTTTGAACACCCTGAAAAAAACATATTTAAATGCAAACTGGTCAGTTGTTTTACATGAGATTTGCTTATTCATTCATTTTCTTGAAAACATACACAAACAATATATTCACAGAGAGAAGCACCAAAACCTGACTTGGGCTAGTGATGATGCAATTTCATGAGGAACAGCCACCACTATCAGACCAAGTGCATTGCACACCACTGGTGCTGTTCTTTACTGGTAAAACCTCTGCTCAGATCAGGCGGGAAGGCCTTTGCACATCCTCCCTCATAGCTCTTTTTTGTCCTTTGCAGACAAGTGCGAGATGCTGATGTGGTGCGAGAGAATGTGGGCATTCACAACAGTACATGGCTCGTCCGACAAGGACGTCTTTCATAAATATCGTAAAGCGATAAGATCGATCCATCTTGAGAGAGCCAGGATGAAAAGGTCCGTGATTGTCTTGTATTCTCTCTTTGACCCTAGTACAGTCCCAGAGCCGAGTGGACGGAGTCTCGCGTGGCCGTCGTGCTCTTGAAGCTGATGATGTCACAGCTGTGGGGAGAGAGAGCACTGCCACTGGGCGGCTGCCATGTGGGGCCGGTCACATAGGCCGACGTGGTGCCGTTGTACCCCGTGTAGAGTGACACTTGGGTGGGAGGATGGGAAGGATGGATGCTGGGAGCTGTGACATAACTGTTCGCTGTGGGCAATCCATTCAGCGTCTGAAAACAGAGAGCAGTAAGCGTAAGACTTCTGGCCATAAACCACACACGGCCATAGAGATGAACATAAAGATACCATGATGGTAAGGATAAGACCGTGGCGGCGGGTGAACATTAAAAATAGAAATGAAGACTACCTCGGAGAGTCTATGAATAGGAACAACAGGAATGGATGAGATATTAAAAGATTTGCCGGAAATGGAAAAGCTATGTCGAGGGAAATGCAAAAACAGGAATGTCTGTAACCCTTTGGCAGAATGTCAATATCAGTTCAGGATGAAAGGAATTCACCAAGGCTTTTCGGTATAAAGGGAAGAAATTCTGACGCAGGGTGGTCTTTGACTACTGGAAATGTTTTCCACAGATGACATCCTTTGTTGCAGAGTTAGGATTTGCCTATGATTTACTCATTATGACATTCTTGACCCCTACCACTAGTACACACATGAACGCATACATGTCTATATTATTCATTAAACTTTAATTCATTACTTAGTAAACAGCGTAGAAAAAACCCGGTGGCACTTTATTGTACAGTTCTGTTCTGCATGTACATACCATGTAATTCTTAGCATTTAAAATAACTGGGTTATAACCTTCCTTAAATTCCTTATATTACCCAGTACTTTCTTGGCTAACTACACTGTGAATACAAGCACTGTCCAATAAAGTAATCAATAACCCTCATTTGCATTTTGCACACAAAAAATAATAATAATTTGATTCAAGTCATGCACTAACTAATAAAAACGAAGAGGAGTTAACACCATGGAAAGCATTTAAAGTCAACTCAGACATAAAAAGAACAATTAAAAAAAAATCTATACACATCTATAATGAAGAATTCACAAAGATTTTAAATTATTTCAAGAAAAGTTGTAAGAGTCGGACACTCAAAAGTATGTGGCATACAGGCCTATAGATGAACATGTCGAGGCGGGAGTTTATTATATTGTTTTAGGATTACCTAAATAATGATCTAGCCTACTTTTTGCAGATCGTTAATAGAGTGTTATGGTTTACCGAGCTCAAATCTAATCATTGGAGTTCATTAGATCTAAAACACCGCGCGAAATAGAAAAAAAGAAAGTATTGAAAAATACTAAAATGTATTTGTGCTTATACTTTATATATTGCGCCGGCAACGCGTTATTGTTGCAGTTGTTTAGGGTGTAGAATAATGTATATATTCTATTTTAAAATAAATATGGCCTATTTGTTTGTAAAATCAGCAGTTTCAACGAAAAGCAGACGAAAATAAGCCGTGACATCTTTTTTAGTCACTAAACAAAATAAAGCAATATTATTTTTCTTCAGTCGTTAACTGTATTTGTGGGTGTGTCGGTATAAAGAACAGATCATCAATTTTCAATTGTCATTTTTTTTAATAACTTCCCACATCGTAGATTATATATTTAACATTTAACTTGATTTAAGTCCCAACCTCTAAATGATGTTTCTGCATGTTGTGTTTGGTAATGAAGCATGTTATCACGCTGTGTCCAGAGAATTTTAAAAAATGAACCTTTAACTTCTCAAATATCGCGTTGTGCTTTATTCTGTAACCTTATAAAATGTACAGGTTAAGATTATTTTTCTGGGAAATAAGACTAATGATGTTCAGTAGGCTATATCATTAATAACTTTGAATATTGTATTATTAGTCTATGCTACTTAAATTCACTGCACAGTAAATGTGTATCGGGTTAATTCCGTTATAAGAGATGCATAATAATTTCTATTCATTAAAATCGTGTGAATGACGATTCAGTTTCCGTGACCCCTCTTGGTTTTTAATCATAATGTTTTGGTTTCAAGCTATCGGGCGTTCTGACGGATACAAACTTATTTAAACCCCAGTTAGCCTACTCTATTTACTTGCGTAATGCAGTCTGACTCGTGATATTTGATCATTTATCCAAGATGACAGACTCAATCATTCGGTAGTCTGTGATATCCATCGTCTTTCTAAAGGTTACAATTTTCATTTCTTAAGCACTCTAATTTTTACATTTCATTCAGTGCACGCATAATTTACGCTAAAACAATGTTTCATAGTCTGTAATGAAGATTTATTCCATCTTATTCTTTCAACGACACATAAATCTCCAAGACCCGCAATAAACGATTAGTCAGTCTGTTTGTTGCTGCCCAGCATTGCGCGAATAAATAATTCGACTGCACCGGATGGCACGAGCGTTATCCGCGCGCACTCTCCCCTCTCATTCCAGCACATGAGCAGGCGGAAACCGGTGCGCGAGCTTCTTGATAAATAGAAGAGATTTGTCTTTCACATGTCGGCACGACACTGTACAACACTAGTACTATAGGACAGCCACGAGCCAAATACTTTTCCGTAATAGCCTCTTAATAATAACAAGAATGATAATAATGATGATATAATAGCCTACCCGAGTATTGCCATTGTGTAAAACATATGGAGGTAAGAGGTTTGGCATTCCAAAAGTTTCTGGCGAATATTAAATTGGGCGAATAGAAATTATTTGAATAATGTATAACACGTGTTTATTGAAGAATAATAGAATGCATAGGCTATTTGTTGAATGAGATCGGTGGCTTCAAGTGGAAAGGTGCATTTAAAAAAACAAAGAAAGCCACTTTAATATTTATTTATTTATTTATTATATTTTACATTTGAATGTAAAGCAATGGTTTAAACTTATATTTAAAGATAAGTGATATGTCGTACACAGAATAGCCTATTTAGAGTTTTAAATGGAGCTTTAGAACAATTGGCATAAACTGATATAGCCTATTTTTAAAAATAAAAATATTTAACTTTTGTTAATATTGTTGTATGTTTTTCCGGCTAATTTTTTCGTGCTACACAGCAATCGTAAATCATTTACGACAAAACAATCAAAAATCGATAAATCCTACATAAATGTATTTTGACTATAAAGTAAAATATACGTTTGTGGCAAAAGGCCTTAAGAGTTCCTTAATAAGTAAGAGCACGATAAAGATATTGATTAAATGTTTAAAAACTATGCAAAATATTGGATCAAACCATTTATTACAATTTTATTGGTCAAAGAATTCCACTCAGTATCACTTTAAAAAACGTATTGAGGAATAATAATACATTTTGATTCATTACACGCATAACTTTTGGATTGTACAAAAAAACCTCCAAAAGTCATGCCTACACATTAACAGTTGTGCGAATACAGACACAAGTAAATATCTTCGTTTTAATTAAAACGTGCGATAATTCATTTGTAAATACTTTTTAAAAAATTAGACTCATACACACAAGGCCTCACATGCCTGCCCACGCCAAAGAAGCACAACACAACACACTCACACACACCGAATTGCCCAAACGGTTTTTTTTATGGATTTTATGTCTTCTTTACAATTATTAACTGAATCAGCATTTCTGTTTCTTCCTGATTGGGTTTGATTGTTTTTATGGTTAACATAGGTGGCTTCTTTACCTGTGTGTATTTTGCTTCAGGTTCTAAGTGAGGCTTATCCACACCATTGACAAGTGGAGAAATCGCTGGTGAAAAATTACTCTTGTTAATAGCTCTCCATTCTTCTAGTTTGGCGCTGGGAAAGGACGGACTGTCACTAACTGGGGGCAAAACAGAGACATGGAAGACTGGAGTCAGACAGGACACGCGTGGGGTGTAGAACTGCCACATGAACAACTTATTCAGTCAAATCTGCTGCACTGCCATCCATCTCAGACTAAACACACAAAAACTGCTATCATCTTGTGTGTGTGTGTGTGTGTGTGTGTGTGTGTGTTTGCATTTATAATAGCGTGTAGTCTGTATCGTATAAAAAAAACTCAGACACGTTTTTCATAAGCAAATTATGATTATAATGACGTAATGTTAGCATGTTTTTAAAATAATAAATAATATATACATGTATATTGTAAAAAAAAAAAGACCAATAAGTTATGACAACATATGTTTTTACATTGCTTTAACTCGTCAAAATAAGTTAAGAAATTTGCAACTTTTGTTTAGTTTTAGAAAAACTCGTTTTTTATGTCCGTTGAATGTGATTTAAGTTGAAATCGACTTTCTATCCATTTTGCGACACGAGACATAAAGTCACATATATGCCCTATTTCTATTCAAACGAAGATCCAGAAAAGACTGAATGTGTGTGGTTAATTCATCAGATGAATCGCACAGTGTCATGGAGTCCTTCGGAACATTTACCCAGCGTCTTCCTGGGAGGACAAATTAGATTTACTTTAACCGTTTCCCCTTTGTGCCTGATGGATATTATATTATACACGGTTCCTAAAGTTTGAAATTGGAAAAGCAAGCCCACCAGTGTTGTAACCTGAGAGGGCCACAAAGTAGATTTCCTCCTGCCTTCACGGAATCTTTGCATTGTTTCACAACGTATAAACAGGAATACACCATAACGATGCCATCTACTTTTGAGTTTTGTTTATGCAATTATACAATCGATTGTGCAATCTTTTATTTTAAAAAGGTCGATTAGGGTAAACAAATCTACAGTTACATAGACCAAATTTAATTAAAGTGCATGCTTAGCATGAAGACCAGATGATGTCTGAGCAAGAACAGTCATTACTCAGTGTCTATGTGTGTGTGTGTAGAGAGAGAGAGAGAGAGAGAGAGAGAGAGAGAGAGAGAGAGAGAGAGAGAGAGAGAGAGAGAGAGAGAGAGAGAGAGAGAGAGAGAACTGACCGCTAAATGATGACAATCTGTTCAAAAAAAAAAATTGCGACACACATTCTTCTTGTCAAACCATCCACTACCGAAAGTAGTGTGTTCGGGGATGTTTTTCGGTGTTTGCTTCACAAATGTTGTAAATGGAGAAACTGTTGCACGCTACACCTTTTTGACTGTAGCCAACATCATGTTGAAACGTCTGCTAATAATTTGGAAATGCATTAATGATTAATAAAGGCCTCCTAAATGCAATATCCTCCTCTGCGTTTGAAGCATTAATGTCAACACTGCCTTTGAAAGAGGCAATGAACTAGGCTACCATTAAACAGGACAGGCTGTGGCCTTCACACTACTGTGGGCCTACTGAAACACACCACATAGCCTATGAACGGACAAATGGGTTTTAAAGATATTTTTAACATCGACATCTCTTAGATTAATTGAAAGTTACTTTAAAGAAATCATGATAATAATTGAATTAAAGCGATGCGTCGCGTAACATGTACTGTAGGCTACTGAAAAAACACTGCTGCTAGGCATTCGCAATAATGAGCAGGGAAAAATCATGTAAAGTTTGTCCTATGTTGTAACACTGCTAGCTTTGAACATCTAATTTTGTTTCGTTTTTTCCCGCTCCGCTGCGCCAACTCCCAAATATTCCACATTTGCCGCCTAATTATTACTAAAAGCACTAAACCATGTGTTTCAATGCAAACGTGTAGCTCCTGCACAAATGCCAGCACACTGTTTGTATCGTCGTGCCACTCGCTGTAAAAATCCCTCCTCCTCCTTTTTTTTTCCTTGCGGATCTGCCGATATACGATAAATATTTGCCCGAGGCTAATAATAATTGAGTCCAATAAAATGATAGACGTTTGAATAGCTTAACGCTCTTTCCATCACTACCAAAACTATTATTTTAATTTTCTCTGTTACACAGACATGTACAAAATCTCACACACGCTTTGACAGGCCTTAGTGTCTTTTGACAGGATGCCCCCCCCCCCCCACACACACACACACTCACACGAACAAGGACTTTCTTTTACCAAAAACTGAGAGGATGCTTACTTTGCTGCTCCGTTATTGATCGAATGCCAAGAATATCTGTTACAGAATGAGAAGAAGGCCATATCCTATGCATTGCCATGTGTGCAGGAAGAGTGGGCATGCCAGGCGGAGTCGGTACTTTAGTCCCAGTGGCGGAGATTGGAGTGGGATACGAGTACAGGTGGTTGTAAGGGAGGGCGGGTTGAGGCTGAGGATGAGCGGCCTGTTTGCTCGACTCGTACTGGTTCTGTTGAGACAGATTTCCGATCTTGTTGCGGAGAATCCTACTGATCGAGCTGACTGAGGGCAGATTGAATTTATCACACACACCGTCCGCAAGCAGTCTGTCTCGAATCTCCCAAGCGAAAATGCCAGGGTCCCGTTGCTTGTAAGTCCTAATGTGCTTGACTACAGTTGGGGTCGTGACCCTCGGTTTACTGCCGCCAATAGCGCCGGGAAGTATTGAGCCGGTTTCGTTGTACCGAGCCAGAATCTTGCTCACACACCCGTGAGAGACGCGGAGCTGCCGGCTGATGTCGCAGGGCCTGATGCCCAGCTGGGCCAGCTCTACTATCCTGAGCCGGATGGCATTGGGTAGGGGTCTTCCGTTCACAAAAACACCGCCTAGCTGGTTCACCTCCCCAAAGGCTGGCTCTAGTGATGCAGATATATGAAGAAAAAAAGAATTGCAAAAATCATCAGATTTTACCAGGCCCTGAACCGCGTCTGAAACAGAAAACCTACGGATAAATGTTTCAGTAAAACTTTCGATTACTCTTTCTGCTGTTCATATTTGCATTTGAAGTTTTTCGTTTCATTTTAATGCAATGCGCTGAACAAAAAGTCATTCTATAAATTCTGCAAATAGAAGGGGGGGGAAACACCGTTACTACATTCTTTACCACGTATGTCATATAATACATTAAAATGCACATTCGGTGGACTAGTTTTGGACGCGATTAAGCTTATTCGCGGCAAAGTGACTGATGCTTTGACCGTCATTTCGGGGAACAGAATAGCAGTTTAACAGTTTGAGTAGAGAACTAAAGCATATATAACTAAATTGTATAACCGTTCCCCCCTAAAAGTGTTTATGCATGCCCGTTCCCATGTGGGAAAACATGAAATATGGACCTTACCCATTGCGTTTAGCCTCCCGAGGAAAAAGGAAACTTCAGTGTGCTGTCCTGTTCTGACCAGTTCCGAGTCCAGTTTAGCTGATTTTTATTGCACCGAAGACGATGTGGATGAAAAGTAAGCGTCCGAGACGGATGCGATGCCGATTAGTTGCAAGAGAGGAAAATTCGCCTTCTGTTTCCTGATGGCAGGGAGCACAAGCTTACATTTCAATCCCAGAATCTGATGGGCTGGCCCTTTACACATGTCTCGAAAGCGAGGTGCTGCCAGCCAATGAAACCGCGCGTTTTTCCCGATGTTGTTTTTCTATTGGCTGCCAGATTTGACATGACAGGCTTTTGCACCGGCGTAAGCTCGCTTTTGAGGGTTACCCGAGTGTTGGTTTTCTATTTAGACACATCTAAGAATGGTAAGTGTTTGCAACATTGCACAGTAATTTTGTTTCATAAGCATAATTCGAATTATTTCGTTGACTAGAACAAGGGAGAAGTTTGCGAGGCAGTGGGCTATTTTTTTTTCTAAACAGGGGCCCTGTGATTTATCCTGATGTCATTTAAATTGCACTTAAAATGCGTCCGATTTATTAATACATTTACTCATTTATCATTCCGATTTATTACAAATGCATTTTTAGTTTGTGGCATCCAAACCAATGGTCAGAGCATGCTTTTAAAAAAATATGCAATAAGATGGGTGACACTGAACAGTCATTTTTGTCCAGGTTGTTTATTTAGCTTTATTTTATCTTTAACTGTAAAGAGCTGATGCTTAGACCTACCCCCGAAGTTATTTTGTATGAACTCTTCATTAGACATTGACTTTTCTGTCACAATAGTGACTCGTACGAAAATATAATGAATTCGACAAGGCCATGTGGGATTCTTTTACGCTTTTGTTGTCATAGGATTATGATTCCATGGCAAAGAAATCATGGACTAATATGTCTTATAACGACGACGTAAGGCTATAACAAACTAGTCCGGTGTTTGTTTGATGCTGTGGATACCAATAATTGTGAGTAATAATAATAATCAGGTAACAAATTGACGTCCCGTTAAAGTAATATATAGGCTATTTAATCAATAACTTATTTGTTTTCTAATTGGCCAGAATTATTCAACGTTTATCTTAAAAAATGGTATTGTTTAGATGCGCTCAGGCCTGTTTGAACTGCATAACAGCCACTGCAAATATAGTGGCAAGTTATTTATTGTTGTTTCCTGTTTACTCGAGACTTGAGCACTTTCATGGTTTCCCCGTTTGCTTTTCTCTTAATTTCTTAAAGTATCTCAAATCTCACTGAAGGCTTTACTCTCTATAATCTCGAAGTCGATCGAGTTTTTTATTATTAGCATAGGCCTATTATTAATGTTTTATCCTTTTCACAAACTTATGTGTAGGCCTACAGAACGAATTGCCGTTCAATTGTGCTTTTTATGTGCATTTGAATGTTATCTCAAAATGTAATAAGTTTACGATGCTTCTATCGCAAGTACATTTCATGAGATCGGGCTCATTTTGACCTTCTCCGACTACTAAATTTGCACCCATAGCAGTATTACATTTGGGCAGATGTTAAGGCCCATCTCCTCTGATCACTTACTAAAAGGATTTATATTTGTTGAGTTTGTTTAAATCACCTTTTCTGATCGATCTATGGAGGGAGATTCAAAACATGCATTATTATTACTTATTGAAGAACTGCCACCAAACCAGGTTTGGCTTGTTTGTGGCTTCGCCCGAGTGAGGGCACAAAACAAATGTGGACCAGAACTCCGAAAGAACATGGATGATCGCATGCATGACTCGCTGGCAAGATTTTTTAATCCTGCATTTTATTGTAGGATTAGTTAACTCTAATACATGTTCTCTTGCGTCGTTTGCTGTGATGGCAGAAAGAGAGCATAAATCCAGCGCACTAACTGACCGCCGAAAGATAGAGAAAGGGCTTCGTTAATGAGGTGTAAAGACTGATGTGCTTCTGTCACACTTTCCGCTTTTGCGTGGGAAGAAGGGCCCAGATGATATTATACTCACAGTGCACAGCCAAGACAACATGAACTTCTAGGAAATACTCCACGAGTGGATTGGAGTATAAAATAAAACAATAGCCATATATAATTAGAAAAGTGTTGTTTCGTGAGAGCAGCAGTGACAATAATATTAGCATAGGCCTACAAAAACTAAGATTATTGTGTTTAAAGAAAGTAGGCTACGCAATAATAGAGTAGGCTAATTAAAAAAGGATATCGTTATGATTTGTATACTATTGTTTTACAATAAGAAATAACGTGGTACTTGACGTTTGAAGAATATGCTACCCGGTTAGACCCAAATAAAAGCCTTAAACCACTTTTAAAGCTTGTTTAAAGTTTTTATTTGTTTATTTGTCATTTCTAAATACTATAGCACACAATACGAAAGCGCACATTTTTATTTCTTGATATAAGTCTATTGTATAGGCTAAATGCATTCTGACATCGGTTTATAATTGTAATTTATCGTTAACTTGTTATAATGTATTAGATATGAACATCATGAATATGTTCTACGTCGTAAATATAGCTTGATTAACTCCGGTGTTATGCTGGAAGGGAGCTGATGAAGGATGCGAGTACACCATGCAGTTTACTTTCAGCTCGAGCTGCACATGCTCGGACTTTGTCTTTTTTAAGGTTTAAATAGATAGATCTACCAAAGATTAAAAAAAAAAATCATGTCATCATTCACTCACTATTATGTCACTCTAAACTTGTTATGTCTTTCACAAAAGCATAGTATAAAGAATGTTGGTGACTAAACATAATTTACCATGCTCATTTGAATGGTCAAAACACCAAGACATTTCGCAAGACACACTTTTTGTGTTCGGAAGATATAAAGTCATGTAGGCTAGGTTTGGAAAGACTTAAGATTTTCATTTTTGGGTGACGATTTTCACAACAAGTCAGTTTAATAAAAATATTTCAACTTTTTAAATAAAAATATTTCAACTCTTTTAATGACGCATCGCACAAGTACGAACCATTAATAAATATAATTAGGCTATATTCTGTGAGGTGTTCAGTATTTCAATAACGTTAAATGTGATTACATGTATTAGGAATATCTTTCATACAAATGAGTAGTCATTTATATTTCTCTGATACACAACTCACTAAACAATTTAAGACAACTCGAACTCGTTTTTTTGTTTTTGTTTTTTTAAATAGGCCTATACGAAAGAAAGTGCAGCTTACTTCATATTCACTTACATACTTCATATATTCTTATTCGTCGCAAGAGAAATCCATCATCCTGTATACTTGGAGAATTTGTTTTATAACATTAATATTGAAATTAAATATTATTATACAAAATCACTTGTATTCGACAGAAAACAGTGGATTATTTTCAAACACTTCAATATAATAATGATAATAATTAATAATTATTATTATTTAACAAAAATGTGAAGTTGATGAGACTGTATAATAAAAAAGAAGATAAAAAGAAGGGTTACACTGTATTTTAAAGTGACGTTGTTACATAAATATGTATTGAGTAATATTAATTAACTACTTGCATAGTTAGCGTTTGGTCTAGGTTTATTTACTTGTGATTGTGCATAATTTACTATTATTACTAGCCTAGTAAATGCATGCCGTAAACGTGTAACTACGTCACCTTAAAATAAAATGCTACCAAAACAAGCAAAGTTGAAGTGATACGCTTCATCTTAAGAGCACACATGACACATAGTCCGAGAGGGTGGAAGTCAGGAGTTTATTTTGACTCATTACACACATCTCAGCTGCCTTGCGCTCGTTACTCTTGAAAGCATCTGACCCTCTGATATATAATGACTTTGTACATTAAGAGTAGTTCATCTCTATTTAAGTAGCACGCTCAGAGAATCTCAGGACTCCAAATTAGGAGAAGGCTGAATGTGTGAATGATTTCAATCATCTCCTCTTCTCTCTGTGTTCTTTAGAGCCGATGCCATCAGTCAGTAACCTATACAGTCGACTGTGGAGGGGCATGATCAGCAGGTATTTCTAAAACGTGATGGATGAACGCGAAATAAAATAGGTGATTCAACGACGAGCATGCACAGTATTTACCTTAGCTGATAAAATTATCATTTTTGATCTTACTTGAGGGGCTACGGCAGTGTTTTGATACGGTCTTGAAATATGCTTTGGGCATCTCATTCATAAACATATGGAACGGAAAGTACATGGTTCGAGTCAGTGTCTAAAGCATTAGATCAAAGTTATTGTATCAATATAGCCTATACCAATTGAGACTGAAAAATGTTTAAAAGTGTGAAGAAACATTTTTGTCTCGAGATCGCATCTTTGCTTGTTTCTGCCTGACCTTTACTTCGGGTGTGTGATTAGAATAGCTTAATTCAAAGACTGTCCAGAAATATTATAGCCTGCTATTTCACTAAGGGAAAATTTGACATGGTTTTGCATGGTCATTTGACAAAAGCAATTGTTACAGGGTCATGTTTACAATTGGCCTTCTGAAGTTTAGAACATTCAAATGTGAGAGTGCACAAAAACAACCAAAAATTGCTCAGAAAAAAAACAATGAGTTGCTATTTCCTAAACGGTCAAAAAAGAAACGTATAGGGCTATTTTAGATCCAACAAATAATTACCTAGTTTACCCAATGAATGTAAGAAGCATTCAAATCGATGATTTGAAATCAAGCATGGGAGTTTTTTCTTATGATTATTAATCATATTAAAACTACAATGCATTTTGTTGCATTAAACGTGACACGTGTATTTGGGCCGACGGGGGAGTCTGATTGGTTGATTCTAAATGGTAAGTGAAAAGTGACCTGTCGAAATGAATTCCGCTAAGAATGCCCAAAACGTCGAAATATTCCATTGGTTAAAGGAAGAGAAAATTGTATAAAGAAGATCTAAAGCAATAAGCTTCAGTTATTTCATATGATCCGATTAACTGATGCATAATCGTAGTTTTAAACATGCCCACAGGGACAAGTGATTTTGACTTGACAGTAGCCAATTTTATTTAGGCTAAATTTCTTATGGAAATTACTTTTTCCTTTAGAAAAGAAAAGGATATTTGCCCATTCCGGCTTCGGAATTTATGCAATAATCTATTCCCCGGAAAGACAAATTATTGCGTATCTTCGTAGCCTAAGTTTATAATTATTGCATCATCAAACTAATGTCATTCATAACTCACCTCATCGTAATAATTATATTGCATAGGCTAGGCCTATATATAAACGTGTCGTTTTAACGTTAATTCTGGTGTCAACCATATGTAAATGCTTATATCAAAACATTAGGCTACCACGAAACACACACACACAAATAAATCTCGGGAGAAAAACAGATTTATGAAACTGTTAGCTATCCCAACCGGGGTAGGACTTTCCAGATGAGTCACAATGAACACTAAATGTGGACCTTTTTACAGCATGTCACAAGAAGCATCAACACAGCGGTTTTGAACGAATTCTTTAAAAGTGCTAAATGAAATTGGTCACATGAATTGATATAATAGTAATAAAAACTAAAACAAATTAAGATAAGCCTACATTGAACCAATCAAATGTTGGCTGTTACTGGACGACCGCGGTGATCGTGTAACAAATCTATAGCTAAGACTCCAAAAATCACCTATTAAATTACGTAAAAATAACAGTTTTATGTCTTCCATAATGAAGTGAAGAGCTAACTGTGATAGATCAGGCTGGATTACGTTGTTGCATAAATATAGTTATCCGTTAGACTATTTTTTTTTTTTTTACAAATGTCTGGATTACATTAGCCTACTCAATTAACAGTTATCATTTACAGTTTAAAAGGATCAACTGATAACCATAACTTTTGTCTACCAAGTGGAAATGACACCATTAAACTGCTTTGCGTGTTAACACCTCTAAAAGGTTGGCTGGTCCTGTAACTTAAATCCGGCAGTAATGAGGACTTTCGCAGATTAACGGGTTGTGTTTTGGGGCCAGTTCGAGATTTAGAGGGACAAACCAACAATATTTACGATGGTTTTAAGCGTCCATCACATCGACAGCTTTTAGTTTCTTCACCTGCATTTGATTAGCATTAAACATTAGGCTACATTTCAGTCTAGTTAAAAAATGAGCTCTAAAGTTTTCATTTCATATTCCAAAATAATTATTAAGTAGGCTACGATGAATTGTAAACGAATATGGTCTACTGTTAAATCCAACTGCTATACCATAATGGTGCACACCGCACACAATCAATTTGAAATATTTTGATTTCCATCTCTTTATGTGTGTGCATTGAAGAGAGAATAGCCTGTAAAGTATGGTTTGAATTTGTTTTTTTTTAAAGGCATAAGTGTCATTTTGACATTCTTCAAAAAAAAAAAAAAACTAGATGTCATGCCTCGGTTTCTAATTTACTCAACGTCTGTAGAAAAACAGAGAAAAAACTTTCCAATGCAATCTCAAGATTTAATGTTCATTTCATCCTTGAAAATGATGGAGAAGTAGCTCCTCCTGCTGTTTACTTTTCGCTAGTACACAGATGAAAAAAAGAGGATGCGCACACAGATAGGCCTACGTTTAACTTGTACTGTCGGCCTACGTTGTTTAACACTGACTAAACGTGTGCACATGCGGTCATATTATAATATATACACCAGTTTGATAGATAACGAAAAATAACATAAGCCTACTAAAAAAACAAGCAATGCAAAACTGAAATTTGAAATTTCCATGCCTTACCACAGGGTTGTAGCCTAGAGAAGAACATCTCTGACCGTACAACACGTCGCGTGTGTTTAGATTTACAGTAGAAGATCACAGAAGAGACGCCATACAGTGTTTCCCAATCATGGTCCTTGAGCACCCCCAACAGGTAATTCGTTTTACAATAAACCCTAAAAAGTACACGTTGAAAATGATACGGGAAGATGCTCCCTTTATGAACAATGTGCATTTACTATTCAATTGTAACACAGATAAAACTTTAGCATGTGCAGGATGATGATGCACTTAAACACTTAACCCCTATTGCTCCAGAGGTGTGTGACCTTTGAGTCGCTTTGGATAAAAGCGTCAGCTAAATGAATTAATTACAAACTGCATTTTTTACAGTTCAATCTAGATTTTATATATATATAGGCCTATATATATATATATATATATATATATATATACATACATTATATATATATATATATATATATAGCCTACTGTATATATTCACATTAAAATAAGTTTTAATGAGGAGACACCTTTTTCGTCATTAGCAAATTAGAGCGTGTGTAAATAGCCTAGTGTGTTTGCGCGCGCAAGTGCTAAAACCTTTCCCATGTTTCATACCATTCCGATGAAGTTAAAAATTCTAAAAATAATAATAATAATAATAATAAGTTAAAAATATCTGTAAAAAATGACAGAGCCTGAGTGTGCACAAGATTATTTAAAATATTTGTAATAGGCTTAAATCTTAATGAAGCTGGTGAAGTGTAAATATGTTGTTCTAGATGTGAAAAGGGAGGAAAATGCTTCAGGTGTTCCATAAAAAAAAAAATCTGTATGATATGGCTACACCTGTAGCCTCTAATATAACACGCGAACCCAAGACGTTATAAATCCTTTAGCGTGAATATGACACGCACTGACGCACACCCTACCCCACACCTAAACTTAGCCCTCACAGCGCGTGTTATATTAACGATAACGGGTGCCATGTGCGTAGTATAGCGCCGTTTTGTCATATAGCGTTCTATATGACGTTAAAGGATGAGAATGCGTTGGATATACTTATACTTCCTCTGTCCTTCCTCTTCGGGATGCAGGATGCTGATCGATTATATTTTTGGACTATTAACTATATTTCAGCCCCAAGATCTGTAACTATCAAATTTATAAAGCAAGTTTTGTTTGAGACTGTATCAAGGCCTATCTACACGAGACCGCTAACCCGGCGTCAGTTGCTGGGTGGAATCACGGAGGTCGCACAGTGACTGGACTAAAAACGTCGCATGGCGTCGTGTCACAGGTTGGACTACACATTGAATTTAAGGTTCGTGTTCTAAGTCAGCTTCTAATAAGATTCAATGTTGTAGAACTTTAATTTAATCATTGTACACTGTACATACTTTACATAGCATACACAATTGTTTCTAAAATGAACAAAATGGCGTCCATTGTTTGTGTAGGGGAAACTGGGCAAACTCAAAGATTAGAAAGGGTGATGTTAATTATACTATTTCTCTCCGTTTATTTGTTCAAAGTTGTCAAATCACATAAAAGCTGAACTGGTCACTGAAAAGTTGGAGGGTCCTTTAGTGGAAGGGACATGATCAATGAATTAGCATTTGATTGGACAAAAGACTGTAGTTTAGTAAAAGACGTCAATATTTTTGGTCTGTTTTCCCTCAAGAACTAGAAATACCCAATAGAATACCCAAGCCATGATTGTTTTCTACTGTATAATTCTAGTTTAATAACTTTCAATGGCTAAACAATGCAGCATTTTCAAGCTGTTTTCATGTTGGAAGGACAAACTAATATGGAGCTATCCACCTGTAGTTTGTAATTTACGACTAGAAGCTGCTGGCTTGCAAAGACTGTCGCTTCCGGCAAAGCAGCCTACACTTCTTGGGTTGTACTTTTCTTCCTGAAGAATCACGTGTACAAGCATTTCTCAAAGCCTCTGCACCTTGTACATATGTCATGTTATAGTTTACTCCTGGTTTGCCACTGTTGTAGTGCATGCCAAACAAAGATCCAAATGGATTCAGGTGGTCAAAAGAGGCTGAACATAGTTTGACCGTTGAATGACTGCAAGGAAACCACCCTGCTTTGGCAGTCTTCAACCCCACATTACACAAGATCGTCTCCACAGACACTTCAAACTATCGTCAGGGACCCATTCTTTCTCAGGTCAACCCGGATGGCATTGAACACACTATGGCTTTTGCATCACGTTCGTTGTCTACCGCTGAGCGTAAATATGCCACTGTAGAAAAGGACGTGCTGGCATGGTTTAGAGGTGGCGTACATATCGGTGGGGCTGGAATTTCACTCAGTATACAGATCATCAGGCACTGACAACCCTGCTCACCTGCTTTGTGTAGAAAAGTGGTCGGTTCATGTCGTTTTAATTATGATCTGGTTTATGCCCAGGTTTTTAAAATGCTCTTGCTGGTTATCTCTGGTCTCTTTTGACCTTACCTGCAGATAATTCTGTTGCTCCAGCTTCTGATGAGGAGTTTGTTGCTTTTCTGTCTGCTGCTGATGTTGATGCTGCATGTGCTTCTTGTCATGCTATATCCAAACTTTGTACACATTTCTAATGGTCCTTCACCCAAGGGGCTGGACGTTGAGTTGTTGCCTTACTACTGCGACTGCAACTGTCTGTCAAGGACAACTTTGTCTTTCGGGACTCACGGCTGATTGCACCTGCTTCTCTTCGTTCTGCGCTGGTCTCATAGTGCATGAAGGACATCAGGGAGAGGTAAGAACCAAAAAAACTCCATTGTGATGTCTTTTGGTGGCCAGGGATGGATGCTTAGGTTCATGATGCTGTCTGCCACCACGTGTGTCAGCTCAACGACAAAACATGTTAAGACACGTTCTGCTCCACTCCAGCTGGTGTCACTGCCAGATGGACCATGGCAGAGAGTGGCTGTGGATATAGACACTGCTGCATCCCACTGAGTTTGCGATAACATTAATTGACTTGCAGCAAATGGCCTGAGGTCTCTTATTCACACGGGTCACTACGGATTTTGTGGTTTCGTTTCTGTCACTAGTCTTTCACCACCATCGAAATCCATTAAGTATAGTTACAGATAGTGGTGTTCAGTTTACATTTGCTGCTTTCTCTGCTTTTCCAGGGAAGGAATATTTGGCAGCTGGTAGTGTAGAGAGATTTAACCGTGTGCTCAAAAACACTGTCTAAATGACCATCCAGCAACATCAGCTATGGAAACCTGAGGTAACTGACTTCTGTAGGTATATGCTGGAATTGGTACTTCACCCTTTCAGATCATCAATGGCAGGCTGTCTATTTTTCATCTGCTACTGTGCAACCAACCAACTGACATGACCGATTCGCCAAATGGTTACACTTTAAGACAAAAAGAAAAGTATACTGATGCTAAGTGGGGTGCTCATACTCCTTGTTTCCAGAAGGGGGATAAAGTATGGAGCCCCTTGTAAGGGACACAGAAAGTTTACTGATCCTCTCATGGTTACTGAAAGACTGGGGGTGGGTACACGAGTTCTTAGTGATAGAAAGACTTGGAATGCTTTACATCTCACTGCATTTCCATGTATGCCAACAACTCCAGCTGAGAACTCTGCTCACTACACAAGAGCTCATACCATAGACCTAAACGTTATGTTCGGAAACCTAGTTGGTTAAAGGACTGTCACTTAAACGGATGAAATATTCTGTTCTTAAAAAAGGAGGAAAATGTTGTGTTTACAAGTGAATATTGTTGACTCCTATTTTGAAAATTAATCTGTTGAAATTGTTTTCATAAAGAAGATGGATGAAATTTGCTACTCCTGTTTTGTTTTCTTTATTGCTGTTTAATAACTCCTGACAAATACCAGACTTTCATCAGAGAAACAAACTTATTACGATTACGGACACGTGCATTTTAAAAAATCAATGTGCCCAGATAAATTATTTCCAACAAATACTGTATATAAAAAGAAGAATTGTCCATTTTGATTTTGTGGTGACTAAGCATGAGAATGTTATTAGAATACATTTTTAAAATCAGAATTTTGATGACTTGAAAGTTCTCAATGTATGTATGTCTTATATCTTTAAATAATTCAATCTTTCTTGTGTGGGTTTTTATGTTTTTTGGTTTATTTCTCCTTAGCAATGCTCGCCCGAAAATGTGAAGTGGGGTTATGAGGTTGGAGTTTCAGATCGAGTTCACAGGTAGGCCTTCTGGTTTTATTGTTGAGCTTTTCAGTCTTAAAAGCTCTGTGTTGAAACTTGTGGTATACTTGATTTTAGATGCATCTATAATATTGGAGATCATTTTTGAACTTGTAAGATTATCGTATTTTCTGTGTGTGCACGCGCACACGTGTCACACATCTTTGAATATTTCTTAAAGAGTTCACCCTTTTTGTTGTTTTACAATTTTTCAATACAATTATATCAAAGCAACCCGAGCAACAAACAACTGAAAATATTAGGATATGCTGACATTCACAGAACAAACAGTGTGTCAAGTGTTTTAACATAGCCTACAGTATAATGATTTTAAATAAGATCTGGTGAGAGTCTAATGTGTGTTTACCAACATATATGTAAATCCCATGAAACTAGGTTTTATAGGCTATTGTAAATATTAAAATGTTGTAGTGGTTAATTGGTATTCGCGCGGAAATGTTTGTTTAGATTATTCTAGTTTGATAGTTTCCAGTTGTCTGACGCCTTGGGTTTGAGAAGTCAAACAACAAGGGTAAATATTTGACACTGAAGAGCTCTTGGGTGCTTGAGAGTGCACACTTTTCCTGAAGCATACTTCTATCCGTGGGTGTCTAATAGATTAAGGAGATACGAGAGGTCATTAGAAACTAAACTGTGTGCCTACACGGGTCTTTATTGATTCTCTGAGAGCGTGCGCCTAAATTCAAAGAGCTTGGCAAATATTTTAATTTACTTTATACAGTTTAACAACATCCAATGCAGCAAGTCGCAAACCGGAAAACACTTAGAATTAATCCACGAAACGAAAATAATCATTATCCTGAATAAAAACTTTTTTTTTATTTTAAAATATGATTCTCCCTTATTTTAATATTTTTTTTAGATTCTCCCTTATGATTAGTCCTTATTTTTTGACAATCGTAAAATTTAGGAAAATTATACATTTATTTTTTAATTAAATTAAGTCTAATTTTTAAAAGACTTTGATTAATCAGGAGACAACTTGAAATTTGATGGAAACGAAAAGTCATTTAGTTCCGTTTGGAAACGCATAAGTAATAATTCAGTTTAGACGTAAGCAGCAAGACGTGTAGCAGTAGATAGTTGCCCAGATCCCGTTCATCCCTATTCAAAACCATGACAACATGAAACAAGCTCGGATTTATTCGAGAAAGTTAAAGGACATTGTGCGGGGGCGTCAATCAGGCATTATTTCAGGACTGAACAAATGCAAAATCTTGACTGGAACAAATGCTTCCAACGGGTCTCGGACGCGGGGCTACATTTCCCTCTTTTGTTCCTGGTCGCTGGTTGGCATGTATTTGTGTTCTTTTTTTCGGCCGACCACCCAGGACGACTAGACGAGAACGGATACCCACTCTGTTTGGGAGGGTCTCTGCAGTCATCCAGAGCGCGCTCTCTCAGGAATCATCCGAACCCAGTGATGCCTCGCGCACTTACTGGTGAGGTGAAGGAGTAAGCAATAGTCCATATAACAACATATTACTTTTTTGTTCTTTTTTTGGCTACTGTGGTTATCTTGGATTTCTCCGAAGGAATAACCAGTGAAGTTAAATAAAAAATAAAAAAAACTGATATAGGCTAATGAATATATCATAATTGAACCCAACGTTGATGCATGAGTAGATGCAACTTAAACTTAAACAGTTAGGTTTTAATTTCATATCCCAAAAATATATTTGATGAAGACAATTTTGTGCTTTTTTACAGTAGGCTATAAAGGACAGGCTACTTGTCCATGAGCCCACGGATGTATAAATTTCATAAACTACCATGAAATATCACCCTACATTTAACCCGTAACCCGTGCTTGTGCAATAACACCTGCAATAAACGACATTACCCCAATAAACGAATTAGGAAAACCAACTCTAGACGCTAATGGATCACTTTGTATGCAAATATCCGATATGTTATTTGAGCGGGGGAAAGAAGGGAGGGCTCTTGTTGTCACTTGCCACCCAAGACGTGATTCAGCCTCAACAATTACCATTATCTGTTTCCCGAATTCGGACGAATCAGTAATGATGAAGAGTGTTACCCTCCATCATTGTGAAAGTAACGGGCTATTCTTTGCCGAGTTCACACCTACCATTACAGGGATTTAAGTACACGAGTCATTGAGGTACTTAGAACCCATAAGTAGGAGAGGCCTGAAAGCAGCCAGCAAGTGCTGTTTATATAAACACCGCGACATCAGTGTACACATTGTCACTTGGATGCGCGTCTTGAAAACGCACACATCACTTCAGCACTGCGACTGAGGATAGCTCTTCAACATCGAGAACCACCAGTCCTGCAACTAACAGCGCTACAGATGGCTATTTCGAACAAGTTCAGTTTCACTGTGAGAAGTATTTTGGATTTGCCAGAAAACGACTCCGAAAACATCGCGCACCATTCTCCAGAGGACACGTTTTCCGTCTCACCTTACTCGTCTTGGACTGAGAACGACAGAGGACATATATGTAAGTTAAAAAGAAAATGATTCAAACTTCCATCCTTTTTTTCATGTCCTATTAATTAGGGTTAGTTATAGGCCTACGTGTTTGGTTACTGTAAAGTGAATAGCCCTACTCATGTTTCCCCTCCCAGAGATAGCCTAATCGTTTTTGTTTTTCTTTAGCATCAGACGAGAGCAACCTTGAGGCTTCACCAGACTCCACGGGCCAAGATGTGCTTTCAATGGATACAGAGCATGAAAAGAGGAAGAAGCGACGCGTGTTATTCTCCAAGGCTCAGACTTATGAACTGGAGAGACGCTTTCGTCAGCAGCGGTACCTGTCCGCTCCGGAACGAGAGCAGCTCGCGCACCTGCTACGTCTCACACCCACGCAGGTCAAAATCTGGTTCCAAAACCACAGATACAAAATGAAGAGAGCGCGGATAGAGTGCGCTCAGGACCTCAATCAGCCTCCGGTTTTGCGCAGGGTCGTGGTGCCCATTTTGGTCCGAGATGGCAAACCGTATCAGAACTGCTCCATCGATGCAGAAAAAGGAAGATGCATCGTTCCACCAACAGTACCATCCTCCTCATCCTTCAGCGTTCAAGGTTTCCAGTCTTTACAGCAGCAGACGACGCCCTTTGCGCTTTTCCCCACATACCAGCACTTTACCAACACAGCGGCCTCCCGTCACCACTTTTGTGTTTGGTGAGACTCACTTCAACTAACCACACGAACTATTTCGAGACTTACCCCACAGGACAGAGCATGGATTCAAGTTCTTTCAAGTTGTTTTTAATTACATAAAGTCTTTGGTCTATTAAAGTAGAAACTTTCAGCTTTGATTTGAAATGAATAAATAAATGCTGTTTGCACATATTATGTGATCTATTTAGTTTTGGTTCGGGCAGTTGCGTTTTGCTAATTGTTTGTGTATTAATGTGGATAATTGCTTAGTGTGTATGTTTGATCAGTTTGTATTTGTTTTAAACCAAATGTTTATATATCAGTGAGAAAAAAATATATTTGTTTTATACAGTGAACAGTGTAGATTTGGATGAAATAGCATCATCCTAAAATGTTACACGTTTTCGTTCTTTATTCTTCTATGTATTACAAAAAACCTGAGAATAATAATAATAAAGAAAAAACATGTTTAGCAGTGTATAGCCTATGCTACTTCTGTTTCAATTTTCCATACAAATTGTGTTTATAGCCTACAGATCGTATTAAATGTTCTTTTAGCATGAAATCACTCCTTTTAATCATTAAGATTAAAAATATATAAAATATATTCCCCCTTTATTGTTTGTCAATTGTTTAGTATAATTCGTTCACCTTTCTGTTAATCCCCGCGATTGTTAGACAGTGTTTGTATAAAAGATCTCAGATTGAACTGAAAAGAGTATAGCCTACCAGAATTATAGCGCACAGCAAGAGGTGCGTGCTTTTGTAATGTTAAGACGTCCACTTTCACCCAACAGAGCAAATAACCAGCCTAAAGAAATAACTCTTATTAAGACTCAACTGTGGCCTAAACACTGAGGAAGAAATGTAAGATGCATAAAAATTTTCATTTATGGGTGATTTGCGCATTTATTTAGAGGCCTATAGGCATATACCGCATTTTTTTTTTTTTGATTTAAGTGTTGATTTGATTTGAATGGTGACTAAATTATAAAATCGAAGTTCTTAAAACTTAGAATTTAGAACTTAGAACCTCCCCGAAAAAAAGAACAGCAGCGGTTGGTTTGTGACACATTGCAATGAGACCGTATTTTAAAAGAGGGTGATCATTGTTGTAAGTAACTTTAATGAAAGAGGCGTGCTTTCTCAATCCCGAGCTTGTCCCAATTAATTCAGCGACCCAGTTAGTATCATCCTTGTCACCTGGTCTTTTGTCCCCTCTCTCAGGCCACCTTGTTCTACATATGGAGGGGACTGACCGCGGCGCTCTCTTCGCTACATCTTCCCTAAAACACTTTTTTGTGTCGTCCTCTGAAAGGACCATTGTGTGGCTTCCAAAGGGACCTAGACAAAATCCGCAGTGTCTCAATTCTCGTGATGTTTAATCAGTCCCGGGTGACAAATTTATGGGCTTTAACAAGACAATGGAGTTTTAAAAGTCGTTGGGTTTGGGGAGTGACAAAGACAGGATTTTAGAGGTCTTCCCTGCATGGTTTATGGCGAGACGTGGCCACAACAACTTGGTAGTAACATATAGTAAAACACAATAACTCATATGAAGTTGTTTTTTTTTTTCTCTCGTATAGGGCCACCTTAAATAAATTGCGTGATTTGAGTACATTTTTACCTTTATTCTAACTTAATGCACTAAAAGAAATTAAAGTCATATACAAAAGAGACATTGAAATGCCTGTACCAAAAACTGATTCATTGAGCAGACCAGATAAAAATGTTAAAATGTCCCCTTTCATCTGAATATAAATATTTGTGAGTTTTTGTCAATCAAAGCAGATTATCTGTGGAAATTTCATCTATGACATTGTATTATGTTGCATATCAAAAGTTTTGTGACTATATTTGTTAATAAGACAATTGTGGGCACTTTAATGTCTTTAGATTTTTGGAGTAAAAGTTATTTTTTATTTTAAGTTAAAAGATCAAATTAAACCATTGGGGTAAGATGATATAGCACAGAAGGTCACAAGTGGTACGCTGTTACGTTAATAGTTTTAAATTTGATTGTAATTTAAAAAAATTGCAATAAACATTATTGTAATTAAAGGGGTCATTATTCAGTATTAGCATTAATTAGGCTAGATGTAGATTTCAGACATCTTTACTTGCATTAAAAAGCCATAGATTAGAAATCAATCATTGAATAGTGTTGCTATTGTATCTTTAAATAAAATATGGGCAATTATAACTGAATAAACGGAGTAATTTTACCTTTCTGATCAATCTCTTTCACTGGGGTCCTACTTTCTGTGGTTATTTAATTATTCAAATAATCAGAATTCATTCAATTTTAAATAGGGATTTAGTAGGCTATTTTACATTAATGACACTTTAAAAAGACTATTTGAATTAATATTACAATTCTCAATACATATTACTAATTTTGCAAATGTTTCTATTTACTTCCTATAACAAATTGCTTGATAGCCTGCTACATCATCATCCTGTACATGCTGGACGTAGCTAAATAACGTCCAGCATGTACAGGAATCTAAAAAAGCCTGTGTTACAATTTAAAAGTAAATGCAATTTACTTTTAAATTGTTCCCCCATCTTATATGTAATTCCAAATGCGTTTTTATTCCTCCAGTAAGTCTATTATACTTCACTTTTTTAATAACTATAAAGTGAAACAAGGAAGGGAAAGCGTGACATCATATGTCACATGATGTGTTGGCTTCCTGACTGTGCGCAGTGCCACTCTGCCACCTTGAGGTTCACAGCTTCCGGTGGGCCTGATCAGGTGTGCGATGATTTAACTTTAAAAAAAAAAAATGTGTATAATGTTGCTGTTTGACCATAAACAACATCTGCAAAGTTACAACCCTCAAAGTTCAATGCAAAGGAAGATCTTTTCTTTTAAAGAAATTGCTAATGGCTGGTACTAGGGACTACACAGACATTCCTCCCGGGTTAGTGACATCTATGAGTGACATCACCATCCCTAAACTGTACACATAAGCTATATAAATTTATCAACCAACCATTCAGAACTGTCATGTTGCATACATGTTGTTGTCATTTCTTCTTTAATATCTTGACTCCAATTTGAACATGGCGAACTGTAAAAGGCTAAAAGTTTTTGAAATTTTCAGTGCATGTCTGTGTGAGGTAAAAGGACACAATCTGTTGAAGCCATAGACCGTAAAAGGGTTGAAGCCGGCTGGGAGCAGCAGCTCATTTGCATTTAAAGGGACAGAAACAAAATCAGTACATTTTTGCTCACCCTCAAAAAGTGACAATTTTAACATTCTATTTAAAGTATCTGTGGGGTATTTTGACCTCCATACACACTCTGGGGACATCAAATACTTATTTCACATCTAGTGAAAAGGGCATTATAACACCCCTTTAAAATCAAGTCACAACTGTTTCCCAAAACAGTAGGCTAATGTCCCAAATGTGTCCTTAACCGCGTTGGTTAATGATGCCACGCAGGTGGTGGAGTACTGAATATTTTAATGAATCTGTTTGAGATCAAATAATTGCTAAATATTTTGCTATATGCCATCCTAGGACCTATTCTCATTTTCCCCTGTTATTTTGCTTTATTTCCAGATTTATAGGCTCGTTCTTACGAAGCCTATAGAGCACGTTCGCACATGCGCACTCTTCAAAACAGTGCTATGAATGTCTCGACAAACTAAACTAAATTAAAATGTGTAGGTTAGATTGACAAAAAAATATTAGCTTGAAACAAATTTTTCTTTTATTTTTTTCTTTTTTTAATTTTTTTTTTTTTTTTTTTTTTTTTTTTTTGCTGAATGATTTATAAAGTTCACATGGAACTATAGCTTGACCTGCGGATGCTTCTATCCGCAGGTCGAGCTAGTTCAGACCACTGAACGATGCTGTTTTCCAATGTTCGTTGGAACTCTGGTTTCGGGAAACACCGACTTGTTGAAGTAGTTGAAAATTGGCTAAAAATGCTTTCGGGAAAAGCACCCCTGATTTGGCTCAGAATAGAAGGAAACCAATGTTCTCACACACCTCTCCCCTTGAGTGCTCTCTGTACAAACTACATGGCTATTACTCTCCACTAGATGTCACAATAGCATCGTGGAGTCTAAAGTGTGCGTACTCTGCTCTGCTGTCAATATTTACTGCACCCGATGAGCGTCAACAACACTCCCGTCCCACCGTAAACAAACCTTCAATAAAACACATTAGGAGAAATAAGTCAAATATATAATATAATATATAATATAGGCCTATAGTCCAAATATAATGTAATATAATATAATATAATATAATATAATATAATATAATTAATATAATATAATATAAAACGCATTTGACCATGTTTTCATCTATACATAGGCCTACTTATTGAAAACGTAAGCCACCCAGGTAGCGCGGAACAAAACTCCGCGAAAAAAAAAATGTTAAAAACAACACAAATCGTACCAGTAATTGCCGTTAATTGACCATGATAGCCGTACTCCAGTAGAGAGCAGCGAGCCTGATTAAGATAATTAAGAGAGCCTTTTGTAAACTGGATCAAGTAGGCCGAACACCTTGAAAGCAACGTTGGACGCTGCATAGTTTTTACACTAATTGTTATAATTGCACCCGCGATTATCATCTCTGGTGCACAAACTACGCCCACCTGTGCTAACTTCAAACTACAGAGATGCACAGTTGTCTGCTTGTTTAAAGGGGTTCACGTATTTCATTTCACTGAAATGACAAGCTATCACGATCGTTTCCACTAAGCTTGAGCACTGCCCAAAGATGTGAACGCTCGCTGGATATTATGCAAACATTTGTAAGGTTGAAACGAACTAAAGTGTTTCTCATAATCCTGTAAAAAGTTACGAACGTGTTGTTGGCATTATATTAACTATTAGACTTACTTTGCACATTGGATTGGCTTTATTGATGGTACTTTCTTGCCATTTGAAAACATTCATGCTGTGACCAGCAGAAGACGCTGTATTCCCTCGTGTTAGATGTTTGGTCTTCTTATTATTTTGGCGTAGAGCAATTTGACAGATTTATTAGGGATTTGCTATTAGGTAGGCTAGGCCTATAAGTATGGTATGACCAATGTGTGTTATTGATACTCTTCAGGACAGCTCGTTATTTCAGAATGGAAAACCTGAAGTGTCCCACAAGATCGCAAAGAAACAAAGAGATAGAAATACATAGCAAAAAAAAAAAAAAAAGCCATTTTCGAAAATTATAGCATTTGAATTCAGGTTGAAAGCATAAAAGCAAAATAGTGCACATTTGTATTTCCTGCTTTAACAAAGGCATTTTATACTCGGAGTTATTTAATCAGACTCCGACTGAATCTTTTGTGCTCTATATAGCATCCAGAAAATTGATAGCATTATATCTTTAAAAAGATAAAAACACAGTTGTTTATTTAACCACAACTCTATATTTAATCACAAACAGAGTCTCTGTTATTCCTAATTGCTGAAACCATAAGATAATTTTTTTTCCATCTAAATCAGTTTTTTTTAAACCTGCCGATTTTGTTTAGAAGCGTGCAGCGCTTATACTCTCGATGAACGCAGGTCTTGAAAAAAAAAACGAAAGTTTAAACCAAGTATCTAAGTCTACAATATGAGAATCTTACCCACTCACTTCCCATTTATCTACGTTTTGTTTAACCAAAAGACAAGAACTCTTGGTGTCCCAAAATGTTTGTTTCTCTATTGACATTTTTCATTTTGATACGATGGGTGTCATTATTGTCTAAATGCACGACAGATCCACATATATATTGCGATATTAGGAGGACGAAAATAATTTGAAAACATGTAGGTTAATAGCATCCTATTATTAGTTGTAATGTGAGACATTAGGAAAAGATTAAAAAGATTATAAAGATAAAAAGATTAGCATAAAACAACGCGTTGTTTTGAAAATAGCAACCAATTAAATTTGT